CTGGATGGGAGTTTAGGGGTGAGTGACCGCACCTATAATTACTGCAAGTAAGTCACGTTAGACGACACCCAGCGAGAAAACCAGCTCGGACCGACTTGCCCGAGGGTTGAGTGAGAGTTGATCCCACGGTCGCCTCCTGGAGAAGGTCAGACCAGAGATAAACAACATCACTTGGCTACGCATCGTTTCATTCGACAGAGAAATACACTTTCTAGTTGGTTAGTAGGAGAAAGTAAATCGCTTTTTTCAGGCTTTTATCGTTTGGAGGCAGCCTGAAAGTTTTCATCAAATAATGCAAAATGCCATAGAAACTGTTAAAGGCAACGGATAAACAATAAACTACCAAGAAGCAAATTACGGAACTTAAATTAAAGCCCTTTGCAATATTCTATAGGGCACTAATAGGTTCAGCTACCTCATCACTAAGAATATGAAAAGGATCAGGCGAACAGTGACTCACTATATACTTATTTACAACTGCTTCCAATATATAATCTTCTCCTTTTTTTATTGCTTATTTAAAGAAAAAGAGCCTGGAGCCTTGGGCGGGTACGAGCAGAGTCCTTGCCTCTGGCCAGGCCATTTACATTGGCGTCACTCCACTAGGAACTTACACTTTCATTAGCAGTTGGCTATAAAAATCGGAGCACATAAATGCATCCAAAATTCGAAAAAAATTTAAGATTCTCATAGAAAATGGCGCATGGATATGGTTCATTTTGTGGTTATATTAATGCGAGTAATGAAAATGCCACGCAAACATTTAATAACAACTAATTATAGAGCAGTAAACCGGTGAATGATCTTCTAAGAAGGTTTTATATCCTCTTTCAGTTTGACGTGCAGGGAACTCGCTCTAGCGAAGATTCTCCTACCCATCATCGTTGACTTATGTCAAGAGGGTCTAAATCAAATTGCTGTTCGTACGCATATTGAAATTTTCCATTGTAAACATTTATAAATGGATCCTCCATTTAAAATTAAAAAAGAAGAAACAAAGAATGTTCCCACAGTGACTAGCGCGTATAAATCACAGAAACTTGTATAAAATTCAGGAATAGTCACGCAATTTCAACAGTAAGATCACACTCCTCCTAAATAAGGTGGATGTAATTTATCTCCAATCTCAAAGAAAGGAAAAGTAGAAGCCAAAAAAGTGGTTCTGTCTTTGAAGCCACTTGTCTCGCTTCAATTAAAGTGAAAATGAAGGCAAAGAAATTTAAAAAAGATTCTATTAAAACCTTATAGCACACGTCATGTCTCATTGATGACTCCTACTTCCTTGTAAGGTTAGAATTAATGTGAATTTTCTCACCATCTCATTTAGCTCAGAGGGTAGCTCAACGAGGATGCAACACGTTACATAAAGCGCATCTCGATGGCGTGTTCGTGTTCATTACGTTCTTAAAAAATAATATTTTATTATAATTCCGCGTGACCTTGTAAAATGTTAAAAAAAGTATTTTTGCGTGTTGCGTGTAACTTCAATAGGAGAAATTCATGAGACCTTTCCTGATAAACAACGGGCAACGCCTTACTCTTTATGACTAAAATAGAATTTAATAGAATTTTGGCATATAAAAATTCTATTTTTTATCTTTTAAACTCGATGATAAGCTCGATTTTTGAATTAAATATTTCCAGAAAATTATTACTCGATGGCGATGAAAACGTAAAAAAATAAAAATACGGTAAACTTATAAACGTTGCTAACAAACCATTAAAAGCGATATCTAAAGAAGACGTTGCTAGTAATTAACCTTTGACCTTTTAATACGAAAGGAGGAAAGAGTCTTTTAATTTAAAGGCTCTTTTATTTTTTTATTTAAAAAAGTTCTTCCTGATAAACTATTGAAATTTCCAAGCGGTGTTATTCAAACAGAAATTTGAATATGACTTTTTTCTCAGTTTAAATCAAAGAAAATTATTCAAAAAAGCTTTGTAAAAAATTTTAATTAATAGTCGAAGCGTTACAAACAATTACTCTGTAATTAATAATACTGTGAAGTTACTTAACAAGAATTCGAGTTGGAGCAGAGGTACTTCGAACTCAGGCTGTAAAAATAAACGTTTTAAACCAAAATTTTATAATTATACGTGTATAAACCACAAATTTCGTTATTTCGATACTCCATTTCATTATAATTTTATTACAGCAGTCACCAAAAATTTTGATTTATAGTAAAGATCTTGAGGAACGAATTATATATTTATAAAATATAAAAATTTATATAATTTAAAATTATTTATATAAGTTTTCGTTACATTTTAAACTCGGAAATGAATGTATTTACCTTCTAAAAAATCACGATAAGAGGTTATGCGATACACAATCGAGAAATGTGGCACCCATCACATCAAAGATGCGAATACATTTTTCACAGCTTTACATGATCTTAAATGGATGATTATAAATGGATTCGTTGTTGAACGTGTCAACTGCAAGAAAAATATTAGTCTGAATAAAGCATTTTTCTTTTTATCTTTAATTGAGTGTCAGACGTTCAAAAAGGTACACATCACGACTATTTTAGACGAAGCGATTAAAGTTTCCTGTTTTCTGTCATCGAAGTTTTGATCACGACAGGTGAAAAAGGACAAACAAGGATGACATTGACGTGACTAGCTGCAAATGCGGTCAAATTAACTCATATTCTGACACGTACTTCATAATCGAACACTTGAAAAGGGCTCCCAAAAGGGCCCCTTTTAAATGGCAGAAAATTATTCGAGTCTTCTTTTATTAAAGAAAATGATCAAGTTTTAGTGTTTGAAATTTCTTTTCGTGACATTCTACCCCTACTCGTGATCAGAAAAACCCATCTTTGGTACGGGATTATCTGGAAGTTATAGTTATAAAACAATTTGAAGAAATTCCCCAAATTTTGTGAGATGTACGAAATTTTGCTTGATGACGTTACATCCTGTGCCCTATGCTCTCGTGTTAGTGATTTTCCTTAAAGGCGGTAACAATCACGACTACCCTTCGTCCTTATTGCTAACTTACTTTTTTGGCTTTGATAGTCAAAATCCATTTAAAATGTCGAGAAGATATTTCGTGGAACGTTTTGTTTGCTATCAATTGCTTCTAACAATAAGAAGGTCGCGGATTGTCGCAATCCCGTGTCGAAAATTCGTAATTGAGGACAGTTTGATGCTACCTTATAGAATCGATTTGTAAAAAAAGTAAGAAAAATATCTCAAATGAACCTACTTTCTTATCAAACAACTTTACGAGGTGAATTGACATTAAACACCATCAAAACCGTAAAGAATTTAAGTTTTGCCAATTGTTACGACAATGCCAATAGTTTATAAAGACACATCCGTTATACGTAGCCGAACATATCTCGTTACTTTATTATTTATACACGATTTACATTATTTGTGTCTAAAGTTTTCTACACTTTCAACCTGAAATACATATAACTATTTACGAAACCAAAGTTTACAGCGACGTATACGTAAAAAAAAACTCCATAGTTTGATTTTAAGCTATTTTATAAACAAAACGTTTGAAAATTATAATGTAAAATTCAAAAAATTGTCAAAAATTCGTCATTTGATCCGGGTTCGTGACCCACGTGGGAGATGCAATTGGCTTTTCAGACTTTGCAATAAGGTATGTGCTCAACTGAAAAATATGGATAAATGTAAATATGTGTGCTTGTCCAAGCTATGACCAACATTTTTTTATGTCAGGAGAAAGTTTATCTCATCTTTTTATGCCTAGAGGCATTACCCGAAGGCAAAACGTTACATCACGACAGCCTTGACAGTACGTCATCGCCTGCTTTGGATGGTCAGCGATAATTTTTTCAAGAATTTTCTTTATTTTAAAGTCAATGTAAGTGTAAATATGTGTCAAAATAAAAAGTCTATTAACACTAGAATTAATTAATTCAAAAATCGTGACGGAGATGAAACAAAGAAAGAGAAATCCCTGATGCACTTTTGAGGGTTGAGCTTACTTTCCGAGCAACAAAGGAGGAAAATAATAGCTAATTTATCTTTCTGCTGATTGTTTAATGCGTGGGTGATTTCCGAATTCCAAATCTCGATTCTTATTGTTTAATGCCTATTCATGCTTTGCTACCGAAGCGCATGTTCTAAAGATTCATATCATTCTAATTAATTATTTTACATCTATCACGTTCCAAGTATTTTGTTAAATTTGTGTCGTTTTAATGCTATTTTAAATTACGAATAAAATGAAATTTTTATTTTAAAATAATACCAAAAAATGATTTTACTCTTTCTCTTCCATAAATGTAGGGAGATTTTCGTGCTGTAAATTGCCTTCACAAATAAAAATTTTTTAAAATAATAACAATTTATGTTTCCGTAATTTAAAACTAATAATTATCGAATTATTCGCATTGTTCCTTTCGTAAATTGTGATCAGAGTACATTAATCGTACGAAGTATTCTTTAAAGTTTAATTTGTAATTATTTAAATTAGAAAAATAAAGAAGCAGTTGAAGTACTTTACGCATAAATAAATTACTTTTTTGTGCAGGAACAAAGGAACCAAACAACACTTTATGTAATTACAACGTGTCGTGGATCAATCTAGAAAGGGGAGAATTGGAGTATTTTGATGTTTTTGATTTAAAAAGTCGGCTTAAAATGTGTGTATAAAGTTTCTAAGTGTTCGTTACATTCTTTAAGATGGATTTCAGCACTTTACCTGTTTGAAAACGCTTGTTGAAACGTTGTTATTCTCTGGCAGCTCCGTCGGTACTAGAAAGTTGGCTTCGTTGCAAGACACGGACGTCTTACACAGTCTACACGAATTGAGGAGCTTTCCACGAATTCTAACGGATGTGACGAGGCTCGGTTCGTCCTAAAATGACGTCATACATCGTGAATTAACTTCACGAACGAGTGATGCAAACGGAATGAAGAGAATTAGCACCTCACCCACATCCGAAAACCTTAGTAACTTTATTTCTAGTATGAAAATGACAAAAGGCGATATAGAAAAATCGACTTTGTGAAAGTTACGATGGGGCACGTATCTCATTCTGCAGCGTAACACGATATTATTGCGTGCTGGAATCGTACGACGCATTTGTTACTACGGTACGCGCTAAATAATGGTTATATTTTTGTAGTTGTACGAAAGCTACGCAGCGCATTTAATGACCCAAAACCGGAAAAACTATGGAAGATTATGTAGATGACGGGATGTGATGGTTCAGTACGAAGTTAGCGACGGCGAGGGTCAGTCGCGAGTCGTAACCAGCAAACTTCTGATCTTACCTTCCCCGGTGGATAGAAGAGCAACAACCAATCACAGTAGAGTATGCCTGGTTTCTTGCCTTCGGCATATTTATCCTCTATTTAAACGTGATAGTCATGTAGTCATCGGACATACAAGCAACAACAGTCCCCAGTTTTGTAGTTTCCGATCATCTAGATTACTTACAAAGTATAGGTGAGTTACGCATTCTTTTCCAACTTTATCGATACATTTTTCGTGAATCACGTTAACGTCCCCTTAAGTCTCTCGCCCAATTTGGGCACGTTATAACGTGTTTACTTTCACTTCCTTGTTGGAGAATGTTTCCTAATCCCGAGGCTCCGTCACGCCGATTGTCTAAAGTAACCGAGCACGCTTTAAATTGCCGAGCGTCACGAACAATTTAGAAAGTGAGACTTAAACCCATCGAGGTGTGTATAGGAGCCGAAGGTCAGAGGTCAGCCCTGCCCGACTACATTCCATTAGACGGGTCGCAACGCCACTGAACTCGTATGAACTTTGATCCCCGTTGCGTGAGAGACCTCGAGAAGGAGGAGGAGGTTCGAATCTTCAACAACGTTTGATAAATCGAGGAACTTTTTCTTCGCTACTTTTATGTACATCTTTAGGATTAATTTTGATACGTGATCGCAATGAAGATGTCTTAATTAGAGTTCGTTCACATCGTACTTCTTAGATACAGATTCAGAATTAAACGTTGATACTTTATGAAAATTTACATATCTGAAGAAAATCTTCCAAACAGGTTTGTAAACACCGACAAAGCTCGTTTTTTTCCCAAACATTTTTTCGTCTTTCTTTAACTTTCTCTTTCGGGTTCGTAACTTAACAACGTCCGAATGTGAATGAACTTTCGAGTTTTTTGGTAACGGGTTTCTCATTTCTACGAATTTTAAGCACCGTTTTCAGCTGGCTATTTCTCGTTTTTATACCTAGAAAATTCCTTAAAATAAAATAATTTAATTAATGAAACTTGGTAAGAATACTCTTTACTCGCCTTTCATATCATATTTTATTATGCTAAGTCATACGTAAAATATGGAGACTCGGTAACGGTGCTGACAGTCCAAGTCGTTATTTCTTACGCAATTAACTCGTTTAACCTCTGTTAAAAGCTTTTCAAAAATTTAATATTCAAATTTGCACTTCCCTCTTCCAAAAATTTCGTGTTTATTAAGGTCAATCTGTCAAAGTTTTGGTACAAGTAGCCGAGGATGCTGATTAGGGGGTTCCTGTTAAGGGATTCTTCATAGGATTTTCAACCCTTTTCTACTTTCTGTCTCGGGTTATATCGGGATTTTGGAAGATTGTATTTACATTTGAACTTCCAAAATTCGATTGTTATTAAGATCAATCTTATGCAAATTTTGTTAAAGTTTTTTGCGTTGTTGATGATCCTGATTATGTTAAGAGCTCGTAGGGACTAATATACTGTTTCGGACTGTAAAGTAGTTCCTATAAGCGAAGAATTACACTAGAATTCTAACGTACAATTTGCACTCAATGTTACTTTCTTCGCGCTTATGGTTATATAGAGGCTGGAAATGCAGGATTTGTACAAGTTATGGTACAAATATTTGTTTATCTGTCGAATGTAGTTATATTTAAGGATATTCGAGGATTAATATAGGATCTCGGAAGACTGAAAAATTGATATTTAAATTTTCTTTCTCCAAAAATTGTTAGATTCGTCTGTATAGAAATTTTGGTGTTTTGTAATTATATCGAGACTAATAAAAAGGATCTACTTTGTTTCAGGTCCAAATTGCTTCGGGAGGGCCACCGCCAAACATGCGGTCGTCGCTGAAACTATGGACACTTGTAATTATCTCGTGGATGTCAACATTAGTTTTATCAGGTACGTTCCTAACCCATTTAACTAATTTTCTATCACGTCTGCGTTTTATCCTACGAGTCACGATCAGTGAAAGTTAACCCATCGTCAAGGACGCGGCGTTGTCTCGTTGACCCTGTACTTTGACCTTTGACGTAATGTCCCGTCATTTGCCGGTATGTCAGGTGAAAGCTGCAACCTTGACCTACATACCCGCGTCGATTTTTACATGGCTGCAATAAAAAAAGTAAAACTTGGATTTTGAATAACACGGAGACACGTGACGATCTTCTTATTTAAACAATTACGAAAGCAAAAGCGAAGATTAAATGGCCGTTTCGTGATTCATCAGAAACTTTTTCAATTTCGCGACGAAAAATCAGGCTCTGCATACGTGACGTAATCAAGTGTTTATATCTCGTGTCAGTCACGCCGGCTATGTGACGTCGGAGCAGGTGGCGCCGCGATTCCTAAGCCGGGATCTTGTGGGTGGAGATGATTAAGCCAAGGATCGTCTTCGTTTTCGATCCTGCAATGACTAATGCGAGGAAGAAACTCTACAAAATCCTTGAATAATTATACGTCCTCTACAAAATAAGTTGCGTAGTTTTGTAAAATAATTATTTTCTAATCCTAGTTTTACGAGCGGATATCATCATAAAACATAATTTCATATCCTGATTTAATATTCAGTTTGGCATTTATGCTTTTTTTTTTATTGCATATGTCCATCAGGATGTTGTTTCGATTAATCGTTGCTAAACAAGATTTTAAATTGGATCTGTAATGATTGTTTAAGTAGCGTGTGTCGATCATATGTTTCGATATACATCCACGAACACGAGAGAATAATCACGAATTGTCCTTGTGGATTAACATCCTGCATGTTACCGACCTTGCGATGTTAGTAAATTGTATTCCACAGGTTTCCTGGATGTTATATATTCGGGTAGTGATATATGGTTTTTATGATCTATCACGAGTCCTTGATTTAGATTAATGTCATTTTTATCTAGGAAGAAAGAAAAACGATAATTGGCGTGTGAATAATTACATAATTTTCTTTTTTCTTTTTTAAATTTAGCCCCGTTCACGAATGAATTTCGTCCCCCTCAAGATAAAGGTAAGTTGATTCGTCACTTCGTGAATTAACTGACTGATTCGTCTGATAACAACACTCGCAATGCGGATTCTGATATATAAGCTTTGTGTCCACCTGAAAAAGAACATAAAAACTACGCCACGCAAATTCTGGCTTTTTAATCTACGATCCATCTGGAACCAAATTTATTTCATTTATTTGCATCCTTTCATTTTTTGGGAGCCCACAGTTCATCTCCTTCTAGATCTTGATTTCTTTTCTGAGCTGAGATTAAATTTTAATTGGGACTAAAGATGAAGACCTCAGACTGCAATTAAATTTTTCAATCTGGATGCTGATTTCTGTAATACTTGATGAACGGTACTTGATTCACATTTTGCGTGGCACTCTCTTCATACGGTAGACCAATTTATTACATGGATTCCATGTAAACCTAAACCGTCGTTATTTATGTGGCATTCAGTTTTATTTTTCTCTGTAGTTGGACACACGATCCTTATATACAGAATGATTGTAATTTTTATGTTGAATGAGTTAATCGGATTTTCAATTATTTTCAGGGTGTTATTATTTAAACGAGCGATTCGAGCATGGTGAGATCATCGATACCAAACAAACATGTTTGAATTGCACTTGCAAAGACACCATGCTAATGTGCTATTTAAGGATATGCCCTTTCGTAAAGCCCTTGAACGAAGATTGTATCATAGAAAAAACCGAAGAAGAATGTTGTCCTAAAATTTGGTGCCCCGAAGGTACTTTTGACGTGATTGATTGATTGATAAATGGTTAAGACAGTCTGTTTATTTTAATTTTAATTGCAGTGTTCCCGCCGGTTACGACAGAATCACCTCCTGAAGATAAAGGTATATTTCTTTTTATATACTTTTATCCTCTAGATTTTTGTATTTTTAAGATTTTTGCATTATTAAGGATGTTATCTGGATGGAAAATTTTATCGGGATGGTGATCAATTGCCGTCTGATCCGAGAAAGCCGTGTGAAATCTGCTACTGCATTCGAAACAGCACATCTTGTACTTTACAACAATGCGAACTAAGCGTTACAGGATGCGCTCCAATCTTTATTGGAGGGAGTTGTTGCCCTTCCAAATATAATTGCAGTAAGTATAAATAAAAAATTAATTAAATACAAAATACAATTATACAATATCTTTAATTATTGCAGCTCACGAAGCTGCAACGACTCTACCTCCAGGAATGACATCAACATTAAGTGAAGGTAAGGATCTTTCTTTAACCTTATTGTAAGGATTTTAATGAACATTCTGTAAGCTTTAACTCTTTTTTAAGGCTGCGATGTGGATGGTATATTTTATCACGATGGTGAGAGCGTACCTAACGAAGATCCTTGCAATAAATGTTATTGCATGAGAGACGAAGTAGTATGTGCCATACAAAACTGTCAGCCTCCTAAAGAAAACTGCGTTGCAGTCACTTCAGAAAAGGATAAATGTTGCCCAATTAAATATGAATGTCGTAAGTTTTGTTTTAATTTATCAAAAGACAAAATAAAACGGAAAAAAATACAAAACTTGCAAAAATAATTTTAGCTGAAGACGAAACTTCAACTACCCGAGCACCCAAGAAAGAAGATTCTACGGACATTTTTGTACCTACAACTGAATCTACAGGCACAAAAGGCCCATTTTTACCTGGAAAAATACCAGGAGAAGGTACATCTTTATATTTTTGAGTATTATTAACGTTACAACTTTCGAATATAAGCATTATATACGATACATTGCCTTCGCAGGAGCTTGCAGGTTCGATGAAAAATATTATGGAAATGGAGAATACGTTCCTTCGAAGGATCCATGCTCCATCAATTGCATATGTAGGAATAGTGTGGTTCAATGTAAGGAAGTTATCTGTAATTCGAGTGTAAAAGAAAAGAATAGTGGCTGCAAAGAAGTATACAGTACAGGAAAATGCTGTCCAGAATACATATGTGGTAAGCAGATAACTAATTAAGCTATTCTATGTTTTTTACACATGACTTTTTAATATATTTCATCTCAATAATTGAAGGTGAATGATGCTAAAACTTATGTCAAACAATAAGAGATATTATAACTTAATATTACATCGTTATTGGAGCCTTAATTAAAGATAATTCTATAAGTAACTGGACACTTTTCAATAGAGTAGAAAAAAAATCTGAAATGAAAAGAATTGATTGTGCAAATAAAATATAAAAAAATGAAATTCAATAGAACTTTATAACCTGATAAACCCCGAGGATATAAAATTCACAAAAGGATATTAATTCCTATTAATGCTAAATAATTTGCATTAAGGAATTTATTCGCTTCATTTCAGCCTTGTTAATGTCATAGCGAACGAGCGAGATGAATTCGATAAATACACAATAGAAGTAGATAAAATCGATTACATCACGATCACTTAATTAGATTATATATTAGTTATTATATTTAATTTTAATTCATAATCATATATTATTTCTTTAATTAAGCATTAAATCGCGTATTTTAAACTATAGAAGAAACAACGACTGCAACTGCAGCTACCATAACGACACCCGAAACAACTACCGAAGAAGAGGAGGAAGACGGTAAATTTCTTCATTTTTTAAAATTATTTTCTTAGTAAATATATTTAAATTTGTAAATTTTTGTGGTGTTAGGTTGTAGAATCAACGGTGAATTATACGACGATGGCGATACGGTCGACACTGGAGATCCTTGCGAATATTGCTATTGCGTAGGGAACGAACTGGTTTGCAAATTAGAAAATTGTAAGTCTCCCGGATCAAATTGCATCCCCGATGAACCTCCCGAAGGAGAATGCTGCCCAGAAACTTATAAGTGTCGTAAGTACTTTATTTGATTATTTAACATATTATTTTCTATCGTATAATCAACTCTACTATAAAGTCATTCAATTGTAATTTGCAAACACTGTAATTTTACGATAATTTTATGCGCATTCATTATCGAAAAGCAACGATTCTTGGGAATGCTTAACATTTATTTTTCTTGATTATTTTAGGGTCTTATCCTTAAAAAATGGGAATGGGATTCTTTTAATTAAACGCTGTACGGGGAGAGTTTAAAGAAATCTTCCTCATAATTACTTTCTAAACTAATTCCTAACTCTTCCAGTTTAAAAAAAAATTGAAATTATTCTTATTATAAAATTAATTTAAAGATAATTTTTTCTACGTTTAGTACTTGATTTTACGTATTTTAAATAAATGTTAGTTAACTTTAATAGTTTCTATAATAATTAATCGGTGGAAATTAGCGTTATTATTGATGTTACGAGGCAATTTTTATAAGGATCGTGCATGTAAAAGTGCATACTCAAAGCTTTTAATGGTGATTTTCCTAAACATAAAATGTATGAATACTTATTTACAAACTGCTCGTATTAATTTAGCAGTAAAATATTAATTAAATTTTTAAAAATTTGAATAAAACAATTTAAATATTAATAAATACCGTTAAATTACCAACTTTAATATTGATAAAAATTTCACGGCATTTTTGTTTCCGGCTGAACTTTCTGAAGTAGCATAAAATGGTACTCATCTTATACTCATATAATAAAAGTATTATATATAGAGAAGTCATTAATGAAAGTCGTGAAATCTCCCGTAAAACACATTACTGTATCTTCTTACTGAATGGATCTTTCCTACTCTATGACTTATATTTCGAGTGTTCCTTCGAGTAGTTAATTTATAAACCTTCTTAGCAATTGTTGCATTTAATTAACAAATAACTAACTTTTCAAAAAGTAAAGAGGTTAATGTTAGTTTAAAGGTTTCTTTCGATTGTTGTGGTTGGGTGATAATGTGGGTCAATTACGTATAGCTGACACCATTAATCCCTATTGTATTTCTGATTCTCTCTTCAATTTTTCGTTTGTGTTTACTTCATTTATATATTTTTGTTTATTTATCGTTCCAATAAACAATATATTTAGTGTATAAAACCTAATTGACCCTGACTTGGTGTAATTCAAAGTAGACACGATCTAATTTGTCAATTAGCCCACTGTTGAAATTTCACGAATACTAAGTAGAATGTCAATTCTGGATAATCGGTTCCTGGAAAGCCGTCGTAAATCGAATCTCGATGTTATAAACTGAGGTTACGTTCTTGGATATGCCTTTAACTTCATACTACTCTACGATGAGCTGTAAGAACTATAGCATTATACAAGTCACAACAGAAAATTTACGTAAGTCGTAAAGCATGGGTCTATTATAACTGAATTCTCTTAAAAGATTATGTGTAATGTAGCAAATCAATTCTCATTAAACGTGATATTTGTCGAGGTATATCATAAATATTTGTAACTAGAATGAATGTATCTGAAAGATTCAGAAAACGTTAAGTCTTTATAAACATAAACAACAGAGAAGCCGAGTTATCTGAAAGTTCTCCGAATTCCCGAATTTAGAGGAAATCTTTCCTGAGTTAACTGCAGTTAAAAATCTATAAATACTCTTAGAAGATAAAGAAAAGAGGCAAACTAAACTGATATCAAGTTATTAAATTTATTGTAAATAAATTGAATAATAGTTTTGAAAACAGAAGTTATCACTAAAAATTTTAGAANAGAGAATAGCTTTGGGCGTAATATTTTTTGTAAATAGATCTAAAAAGACATACACAAACATTTTTGTTTAAAGGGAGGCGTACGTACCCTCGCCCTCTACAGTCATTTTCTGTTTTTTATAATCTTTAAGCAATATTTTTATATTCAGATGTCATTGTTAGGTGGCATGCGGAGGATGTAGGGACGAATCTGTAGGGAGCAATAGGGACAATCTCCCCTTAGAGTTTTACTGCTAATACGAATTATTTCTTTCAAATAATATATCGTTATTTTTCAAGTTTGTAACATTTTTATATTGTTTATGTACAATAGTTTAAGTAATTATTAAAACATATATATTGTTTATTACGTTACATGAATTAAAATTTTCCTTCTGTGATTTACTCCTGTCTTTAGGAATAAGTTTATGCTAAATCTAAAAATAATTAAACTTTGCTTTTATAAATATCTTGACGTCTTGGTTGAAGTTATTCCAAAGTAATTCTTTGATCAATTATTAAATTTATTATAGTTATATTTTATAATACTTCTTTAAAATACATATACAGTCAAACCCGTCGACAACGGCCGTTATTAAAGTTCGACTACACATAAGCTACTATCATTACAGATTGAAATATTATTGAATATTCGGATCATTAATAATAAAATGGAAGTGAATCATAGTTAAATATAACGTGGCCCAAAAGTCAAGTAACTGCTATTAAAAAATAGTCCGTACTCTTGTATACAAGCGAGTTCACGTTACTATTGTATATTTCTATCACCGAAGAGGAACTGTTAATTGATACAGTTCATGATGTAAGTACAGTAAATCTCTTCATAACAACAAAAAAGGACTGTTGAAAAGATCCAAGTAATTTTTGTTATATTCATTATTTTAAAGTGACTTTTCTTTTAAAAGTTTTAAAAATTATATATATCTTTTTAAATATATTTTAATCGATCTCCCGAATTTACAAAAGTCAGGAGAAGACCCCTTTTGTTGCAAAGTTTGTAAGTAATAAAGTATTTGTATAAAACAACAGGTTTTACTGACTTTTGGGGGCCACCCTACTTAAAACGTCAATTTTTATTTATTTTTTTAACACAGTATAGGATTGTTTCTCACTGTTCTACGTGATTCTTGTTAAAATATTATCCGTTTCGCTCAAAATTAAATTTTCTATTTGTTAAGAATTTGAAACAAAAGTTACATTCGATACTTATCAACAGATATAAGTGAGATAGAGATGCATTTTCATATTACCTTCAGACTAAATGAATTGATATCATTGTTATCTTCGTTTAAGGTCGAATTTCTTTGGTATTTTTAGAAATCTGCAACTATTCGTCACGTTTTTCTAACGTATTTTAGCTTCAGAAATGATTGTAAACTTTGAACTGATTGCAATATTCATTGTTTATAAGTCCACGAGTTTATTTTCGTGCCAATATCGAAAATTCATACATTTTTGTATGCCATTTTCTAAATGTTTTAAATTAACGTGTGTTAAATCGATCTCGGACCAAACAACAAGATCATTTAAACTATTGGAAATTATTTTATAAATATTTGCAGAATGATTTCATTCTTTTTGTAAAATGCTTTCACACTCTGGTGATTCGTCAAGTGTTTAGAGAATTAAATAAGCTATTTATATTTATGTGATCATCTAACAAAAATTATGCTTTTCCATTCAGAAAAACACAATCTACAAGATATTTCAAGTAGAAAAGCCTTTATTCACAGGATAGATCTTATCGGAGTTTTTCCCGATTCCAATTATTTAAATTTATATTAATCAAACTTTATATAAGGAAGATTAATTACAATTTATGAAAAGATTTGATTAGTTAACGCTAAGCACTATCGGCACTTAAGGCTATACTCCACCTATTATAGCCATTATTGGCAGGTCGACACAAATTTCTTAGCTAGCAGTCGGGTGTTTTAAGAGATTTAGGGATGCGCAGGGTATAGGTGAATCTCTTTGTGGGGAATTTTTCCCGAGTGAAGCCGGGTAGTAAAAAATTTAAGGCATATTATTTCCTTTCTGCACACTCCCTAAAGATTTCTGGGCCCGCTATTCATAGCACGTCTCGACTACGATACTGTTGGAGGATCTAAATTGAGTTTCTCTGACGGTGGATAAAGCAATTAAGATGCGCCTATTATTTCAGATTCGAGTTGAGTCGTATCCTAAAATTTTCATGCTCATTGTGATCCGAGATATATTTGGCTTCGTCTCTCTTTTTCCCACCATTCTATTACTGATTTGGCCGAATTTACAAAGGAAAAGTTAAAAATAACCCGTGATAATAGGCAAATTATATAAAAAGAAAAACTTTTTTGGTCATTTCACGCCACATTCTTCAAAAAATTTGAATTCTGACTGTGCAAAGTCATTAAAATATTCTTCGTGTATTCACACAAGCTCTTAAGCACGTATCGAATACTTTCATTACTTACAAATAGGAACTATTAAGCTGTTCATTTCCACATTCCATAGATAATGAAACAGGTTTGGATTAAAATTAATTAAAAGCCTCGAGTTACGATTACTTCATTAACAACCACGTCTATTCCTGTTTTAACCGTTTTTCTCGAAACCAGAATTGAAAAATAACATTTGTAAAAAAAAGAGTATTGTTTTCAAGCTCATTCATCTTCCTACATAAAAAATATTTTCGAATGAAAACATTTAATTGTTCCTATTTTTTACGTCAAGAATTTTTATGTTCCTGAAACAGAACTGTGACGTTTTTCACTCTTTTGTTAGTTTATGCAACCGAAAACTTCTATTTTTCTTCGTATTATTTTTACTTCTTTTTCAAAATAAACGGATGTTTATTGAAACACATTTTTGCGTCGTAATTGGTTCTTAGAAAATAGCCGTAAAGCGAGCCAGTCAGTTTCCAATAAGTTTAAGGTAATTAATTCAGATTACATTCTTGGAAAGTGCAGTTCTGTTTTATACAAAAGCGTACAGAATACCTTTACTGTTTATGTTATTCCTCGATCTCCGATAGTTGCACATTATTATTTTCGGGAGGCAAAATTTTGATAAGTTCAAAAAGCGGGATCTTTTCGTCTTTTCTTTAGTTCCTCGGTTTCGGTGTATGAATTTAACTCGTGACAACTTTTTTCTTTATAATTATTGCCCTTTTGTATATTGGGGTCAAGTTCTATCTTAAGTCTCAGAATAATATATTTGTATAAGAAATCTCTTTGAAATTCGGTTCACTTTCTGGATCCGAGTATCTAATTAAGAGTTGTTAGTATTTTGTTTATCTAATCTTACGATTGGCATTCTAATTAATTATGATTTAAAATTCAAAACTTAGACGAGATCGTGCTTTTTCAGATTTCTAACATCTAAATAATATAAATAGATACCAGTAAGATGGATCAGTCGTTCTCATTTATGAGATATCGTTGATCTATTACAATAGAATATCAAGGTATGACTTATGGATTAACTTGATTAGTTTACTTTCTAACGACTTTTACCATTTTACTGTTTTCCTGTTCTAATGATTACTTAATAACGACTGCGCTTTCAAGAAGATCAGTATCAGTTATTAATTATAATCTGTATAAAGTCGTTTTCTGTTTTTACAAACCTTGTACAATAACTTTTGGACATTTTATAGCGCGTACAGTCATTTGCTGTTTTTTAGAATCTCCACAAAATCGTTTTCTGTTTTTTAACCTGCTAATGAAGCATCCGAGGGTCATTGTTAGAAGGCATAGAGAATAGCTTTGGGCGTAATATTTTTTGTAAATAGATCTAAAAAGACATACACAAACATTTTTGTTTAAAGGGAGGCGTACGTACCCTCGCCCTCTACAGTCATTTTCTGTTTTTTATAATCTTTAAGCAATATTTTTATATTCAGATGTCATTGTTAGGTGGCATGCGGAGGATGTAGGGACGAATCTGTAGGGAGCAATAGGGACAATCTCCCCTTAGAGTTTTACTGCTAATACGAATTATTTCTTTCAAATAATATATCGTTATTTTTCAAGTTTGTAACATTTTTATATTGTTTATGTACAATAGTTTAAGTAATTATTAAAACATATATATTGTTTATTACGTTACATGAATTAAAATTTTCCTTCTGTGATTTACTCCTGTCTTTAGGAATAAGTTTATGCTAAATCTAAAAATAATTATATATATATATATATATATATATACATAGTAAATATTAAACAGAGGTATGTCTTCGTTCTATTCGTCCCGATGCACCTCTTCTGTACATAATTTTGTGTTTTTTTATAGGCTACTTACATATTCCCTAAACATCTGTTTTCTAACTCAAAGTAGAGTTAGAAAGTAGATGATTAGGGATTATATATATATATATAAGCCTATATATAGGGGAGACCGGGGCAACTTCGGCATGCGGGGCAAGTTTGTCAAGCGCTTTTTTTAAAAAACAAATTAAAAGGAGACTTTGGTTATAGGTTAGGCAGTTGAGTTTTATTGGTGGCTTGTTGAGTGTAGTGTTTTTATTGTTCTCCAACAAGCGTAGTTGAATTATCAAGCAAATTTTCATTTTCGTTCAATTCCATATAATATTTTTTTTCCATTTATATTGAATTGGCAGGTTTTGTTATAATTCCATGATAACGAAAGTTACTTTTCCTGTTAGAAGGATGTAACTTCAACTTATTCACGTGGCCAGATCGTGGCTTGGCATTCTGTTCTCAGGGTTGTACTTAATGTTTCGAAATCATGACTAGCGGGGTAAGATCGGCAACATAAAGCCACATTAGAAGCAAAGGATAAAAATCAAACAGATGATAAATGAAAACATGTTTGCATTTGTTATTCATGTATATATGTCTTTGAACTTGCATTTCGTTGTAATAATATTAAATGGGTGTTGGATTTGTATTTCTTTGTTTTAATAGTGAATTCCAACTTATACATTGTTAATAACATAATTTTATATTCGTGCCTATCTTGCCCCATTACTGTTGCCCCTATACCCGGGGCAACTTCGTCAATTTCTCTCTTCTTGTAAAGTTGTAATTATTTTAATTATTTTTATTTCCAAACTGATTTTAACCAGTTCTATAGTAAGAAAACATTCCAATAGACAATATGCAAAGCTTTTTTTTTCAGTTTACAGCAGTATTTATTACACAAAATTTAAGTAAAACTTAACATGCCGATCTTGCCCCGGTCTCCCCTATATTATATATGTATAAATTATATACAGTATAAATAAAAAATTTTTGTAGGTAGATCTAAACAGATATATAAACACACATTTTTAAGGGCATGCAAATGTTCTTTCCGCCTTCTTAAACACGCCTCTATTTTATAAAGTCATACAGAGGTCCTATAAAATTTCTACGAAGATTATAAAAAAACTTTGTTATTTTATAATCCCTGTAGTATGTACTGTACAATCGTTTCTAGTTTGTTATCAATTGTTATCAATGATGTACGCTAGTGAGATCATCAGAGTATTTCGAGAATAGATTCGTTCAACATCTAAAAGAACATATCCATATAAAGTTTTCTTAAGGAGAGCCATAAACATGTTCTGCTTCTTCTTGAATGTACAGTACCTTTGCATACATCCTATGTGTTAATGAAACTCCTATGCAGCCATTATTCACTACATATTGAAAAATTTACATTAGCATTTTATCATATTTTATTTCATTTATAAAACAATTTAAATTTATTGTAACAAGCATTTAACTTTAATAATGTGTTTGTTTTAAAAAACTATTTTATAAGATTATATCGTGTTTTAAGAGCTTTCAACAACAGAAAAAACAAAATTTCACAACTAAACAATTTTTAACATACTTTTAATGAATAAAATTATGTTTTAATTTCTTTGATAATATCGAGTATTCCAAATAACATTTAATTTTTGTATTTTTATATGTATTTTTATATAATATAAAAAAACTAATATCAGAATATAATAAATACATTTGTAGGTATTAAATATAACAAAATATTTGATATTTGAAAACAAAAAATAAACTTATCTTTCAATTTTCCTTACAAACAATGAAAATGTCATATATTCTATATTTACTTTACATAAGTAAATTAAGTATAGAAAATAAATTACAGAGAAAAATTTTAAGCACTTCTTAATGAAGTGTTAAAATAAATTAAATTTATTTAATATAAATCTCTATCTTATCTATTAAAATTTATTAATTATAATTAAGAATTTTATATATTTTATTATTTACAGCAAGTGAAAACGCTACGACTCCATTCACTACTGTTACTGTTACTATTGAAAAAGACTTAACAGAGAAGACCGAAACAGAAGTAACAACCAAATCCATTATTACAGAAATAAAGCATAAAACTGAAGAAATTACAGAAAAAACTAGCGAACTGAGGACCGAAGTCACAGACTTACATATGACGACTAAAGAACCGTTAGAAAAAGAAACAACAACGATTGAAAGCGGCACTATCCACACACAGTCAACTTCAGAGACAAGGGAAGAGTCCTCTGAAGAGACAGAAAAAACTAGTGAAACTTCCACATCTACTTCTACCATAACTACGGGTCAGCAAACTCCAGAAGACACTCAACAAGCTTCACATATTACAAAGCCACAAACTACGAATATCGTTGAAACAGCTGAGCCAACTACTAAAAAACAGCCTATAGCAACAGAAGAAACAACAACAGAAATTATACAAAAAACAATAAGTACCATAAAATCAACAGAGGATACAAAAATATCAACAAAAGATGAGACAGATGTAACGAAAACAGATATAGAATCAAAAAAAGATGAAACCACTGACACTTTTATAAGAATACAAGCAGGAGAAGGAACAACGCCAGAACCAAGTAAAATCGCCAGCATAACATCACAAACAGAAAAAACAATAGATTCCAGCAAACCAGTAGATATTACTGATGATCAAACAGAGTCTCCTACCGAGACTACTACATTACAAACAGATAGCATACAAACAACACAATCAACGGATCAAACAATAGCGACATTCATCAAAGAAACAACAGCAATAGATTCAACAACGGAAACCACGGAAAAGGAAGAAACTACAGAAAAATCAACAATTTCCAGTAAATCAATGGATGTCACACAAAGTAAAACGAAACAAGAGACGAGCATCACATCAGCAGAAAGTGAAACAATGACCAAGCCATCCGAAGTTCCCACAACAGAATCTAAAGAGGAAACAACAATCACTCCACTTGAGGGCACCACAAATGAAATAGAACCGACAGTAAAAGNGAAGAAGAACAAACAGGAAAAACAACAGATGTAACTGAAGGTGAAACAGAAGCAGAAAGTGACAAAACTGAATCACCGGGAGCACTCACAACAAAATTAGAACAATCATCAGTGGCTCCAACTGAGGGTACTACTAAAGAACTGACAGGAAGGTCAACGGAAAGTACTGAAGGTAAAACGGAAACAGAAAGTGAAAAAACTGAACAATCGGGAGTACCCACATCAAAATCGAAAGAGGAAACGACCATGGCAGCAAGTGAATTGACAGAAAGTAGTGAGATGGTATCTACTGATGCAACAATGAGAACAACCAGTATATCTGGTATCACTAAAGAAACAAGTCCGAAAATGACAATTCCAAGCGATTTAATAAGAGATAAGAAGACAGACTTGATAGAAACAACTGCAAAGATGGATGCCACAATTTTGCCTACTAATGAATCTTTTACAACTGATATTCCTTCTCTATCTGGAAGAAAAGCTGATAAACCAGATTCTTTTATAGTTCAAACAACTACGATTGCTCCAAAGGAAACAAAATTCGAAGAGTTAACATCTATTGGTACAACGAAAGAAGAAGAAACAACTCCAAAATCCGAAGAAACTACGGTAGCAGAAGAAACCACTAAATCATCTGAACCTACGAAGGAAGAAGAAACAATTGCAAAATCCGAAGAAACTACGATAGCAGAGGAAACCACTAAATCATCTGAACCTACGAAAAAAGAAGAAATTACGATAGCAGAGGAAACCACTAAATCATCTGAACCTACGAAGGTAGAAGAAACAACTCCAAAATCCGAAGAAACTACGATAGCAGANTCATCCGAGCACGAAAAAATTCCAGTAACTTATGGTTGTGCGTGTGGAGAGTCACGAATTGAAGTAATTCGTGTAGCTTGACAACGAATTTAAAGATAGAAAATCAAGCTTTACTTTTATTCTTTTTGATGTAATTTTAAGCACGATTTTTTAAAGTTTTGCGCACAGCTTCTTTCTTGATTAGTACAAAACTGTTTTCCTTTAATAAAAATAAAAATGAAGATTTTTATGCGTATTTGATTGGTGGAATAAGACAACGCGATACGTGGACCGTGTGTCAAGGGGATGCTTCCAGAAGGACTTTTTAAGGGAAACTTGTCCCTATTTAGTTGTTACACGTGTGAAGAAAACTCGAAATCATTATTCGTGGACCAATCGTCGTACGTGGTTTTATCCACTCGGCCACTGATCAGCCTTTAAGACTTTTGTACATTAATGCATTGATTTCATTTATAAATAAATATTAATATCCAGAATATTTTTAAAATTATTTTCACAACATTATTGTAAGGAATGTATCGAAAATATAAATTGAATTAATTTTTTAAATTAATTGTTAAACAATAAAATTATTAGTCTAAATCTGCCTGAAGTTAACTTAATGACTTTCTTAAAGGAATCTGCATAATTAATGGAAGAACTTTTATGAATGGAGAAGTGATCCTTCGTGGAGATCCGTGCGAAGTATGTCGTTGTATCTCTGGAAGAGAGATGTGTCGCAGACAAGAATGTCTTCCTCCTCCCAGTCCAAGTTGCAGAATGGAGAAAAGTCCGGGATTCTGTTGTCCTCATTACATATGCGGTAAATTCATTTTCGATTTTATTCAATATTCACTATATTTTCTTTAAAAAGTATTATTAAATTACAGTAAATCTTCCGCCTCCATCTATTCAAAGACGACCACACATCCCAACATCCGCACCACACATCCCAGCATCCGCCCCACACATCCCACCATCCGAACCACACATCCCACCATCCGAACCACACATCCCACCATCCGAACCACACATCCCACCATCCGCACCACACATGCCAACGTTCGCACCAATCGAAGTAATCGATATAGAAACCTTCAAACCCACAACTACAACAGAATCGAGCATCACTACAATGGAGACTACAACGGAACCTCCGGAAACGACAACAGAATCCTCAGAAATGACCACGTTGGAAGCACCAACCAGATTTTCTTTCATAGATCACTTATTGTCTTTGATGACCCCTAGTCCTACTGACGCGGAACGAGACGACGTAATCAGTGAGAAACCCGGAGCAATTCCTGGATCGCTGGTCGGTAACAGTTGGGGAGTGTTGAGAGTTTCGGGTAATTTTCTTAAAAAACTAAAGTCTTTAATTAAAGATTTTTGAAGAATTTATAATATATAAAACGTTGTTTCTCTCGCAGGTTGCAATGTATATGGAAAATTTTATAGTCTTCACGACAAAGTGGCAGAATTAAGTGGAAGATGCAAGGAATGTTTATGTGACGTAACGGGAGTCAAATGCTCAATCATTTGTTAACCATCGATTTTTCTCGGCGCAAAAATATATTTTTTCATTTTTTTACGTGTCAAATAGTCATCATTTCTAATCAGAGTACAAATATATTCATAAAATGACACGAAACTTTTACTTTGGCATTTCTTCCGAATTTTTTTAACCTAAACTATTATTCGAAACTATATTTAATGTTAATTTAATTCGTATATCGGATAAAAGATGGCAGCACGCGACGAAAACAATACATTTTTAGGATGTCGTCCTATTTTATTCTTAGAATTAATATAAAATTTTAAATAAATAAATTTTAAAAAAACCTCGAGTTGATGCGTTAAGAAAATTATTTATTAAATATTTAAATTTAAATAAAGTACCTCTTAATTACATTACGCTAATATTTTAAAATATCGTTAAGAAAACGCCATAAAATTACTGCGTATAATTAAATTAATGATTATTTTATTATCTATGTTATATAATTTTTTATATTTCATTTACTTGGAACAATTGCGAAACGATTACAGTATTTATTACTACTTTATAAAGTTGCGTGGACTCAATTTTCATTCATTGCTGTATTTAATATCATAATAGGTTGGGGAGGATAACAAATATTTTTTTATATTAATTCAGTTATTTATTTAAATTTTAATTTATTTTTAGTATAAATATATAACAGAAACAAAGGTTAGTACGAGGGTAATTCTATTTGATACCGTTTTATTCTATGTAAATCCCAGTGTTTTTGATGTGACAAAATTTAAGAGGAGAAATTTCCACAAATTTCTTAATTAGAGGAATGTCTACAATACTAGCAATCTACAAATGCAAAATATTTACGTCAGCTGCGTGAACTTTTTCAAATTCCAAACGAGTAGATTACGTAAATAAAGATTTAGACAACGTCGTTTGTCTCGAGCAGAACAAAGAGAGCCTCAAAATTATATTAATCGATTTAAAATATATATCGATGATCGATTATAAATAGTAATCGATTATGAAAATATAGATAATAATAATCGATTACGGTAAAAATCAATCGATGAGTCGCGCGATTAAATATTGATTATCGACAATCGAAATCGATACTTAGATTCTAATTTGGCTTACTTCTTCAAAATTTAAATAAACTCGAATTCTTGGGCAATTCTAGCAAAAAAAAGAAATGCTATTCGGGAAGAGTTTCTATGGTAAACTGGTCCCAATTTAGGCGTAGAAAACCGGAAAGTCCATTGGTCAGGCACGAACCCGCGACTACCAGTGTTTTGTGACCGTATCCTCTTTGCTAGTGATTAAAACTTTTTATAATTGGCTCGGGTTCTTTCTCGTCTTTTTCAAATCCTACAAATAAGTTACGCGTATCGAACTCGATAAGGCATTAATTAATCCGTCCAATTAAAGAAATATAAATTAAATTTCGAAACCATACATTCGATGAACGTATAAATGAAATTAAATAACCATAAACAGAAAGCGAACGGATAATAATTACAGAATTCTAATATATTATATTATATATTACGTACGTTTTATATTAATTACTTTAAGATATCCGTATTATTATACTTATCTATCGAAACAATATTCAATCAACCCTCTTATTACTTCTATTCAGATATTGTTTCGTCTTCAAATTTCTTTTCTATCGAAGACAGAATGAGAAAATAAAACGTATAAATCGATTCTGATACAAATTTCAATGTCGAGCCTAAAAATTACATAAATCGATTAAAAAGCAAAGACTCGAGTTTTGTTCAAAATAGGGATTTAATTATCGATTTCGATGATCGATGATCGATTATCGATTATCGATAGTCGACAACAATATAGACTTATTTTTTCATTTTTTCCCAATTTTTAAAAATTTATTTATTAATGCCAATGCAGTTTATATAAATAATTTAAAATTGGAAAGAAATTAATTTTTAAATTTTTTTTACGAAGAACGGCCCGATTTATGCATCTATTATTGCGCGAAAATGCAGTAGGAGACGAACTATATGAGTACTTTTTGTTTCTTGTGCCTTTTGATTTTTATGTCTAGTTACAATGCCCGAAGACAATTTAAGGCATGGCGTAGAGACGAGGAAGTAGACATAGTGTAGCTTTTTAATTAGTTGTCGACGAAAAGATTTGCTTGACGGGTCATGCTATTTAGAATGTAAAGAATGTTAAGACGGTTATCCCATACTTCCTGAACCTCACTAATTCATATAACTAAATTATTCCTAAATCGGTTTTCTATCGGCTACCGCGAATTTAAACTCGGAGGTTGTTGTACCCATACATTGCGCTTCAATACGAAAATGAATGGTAATGGCATAGAAAGGTCGAGGACTATTATTCATCTTGACTTTGAATTCAATGTGTCATAAAAACAACACTACTGAGGTTTATATACACGTCAATTCTCTATCTGTTAGTGATTTTACACACACTCTCCTAGTTTTTATCGTTATTTTTTGCAGATATAAAGTAAAAGTATGCTATATATCGTGAATATCGTCGAAGTTTTTTAGAGGAAATTTAAGTAAAAAACACGGATGAAGAATAATTTAAGACTCCATACACTGGCTTCGACCGGTTTATAATCTTTTAAGTTTCGTAGCGTAAATTTAGGTGTTTATTTTTAAGGAGGAGTTAGAGAAGGAGAAAGAGAGAGTCATTCACCGCTCGTTTTCAGTAATTTATTGTTTCTATCAACGAAAATATGGAATTCCTCCTCACTCTATTTGCTTTATTGGTGTAAGGTCAAGGTCGGAATACTATTTCTATACAATAGCCGATGGACCATATCGCTGCCATAAATTGTCCTACTCTTGATGACTGTTACGGTAAAACGCGTCTAAATTGTCACGCATTTATTATTATTTTTTTCTTTATATTTTTACTGTCGGAGTTTTGTATTCTCCGTAAATGCCATTGGTGAAGGAAGCGTTATTGTTGGCTCCGAACCGCTACAGCTTTGTGAGAGTCATCAGTAAAACCCACCCATTAGAAGTGGGACAAGTTAGAGACGGTCCATCTTCCAGTCCATCTTCGGAACTAAATAAGAGATGTCGTTCGCTGCCTTCGGGCGATTTTCTACCAAGTTCACTGTCCTGAGTACCTGTATAAAAGTAAAGACACCCGACTGGTGTTGAACTTTTCGTAGAAATATTCTACTGCTTTTGTCTGGTAAGTTGATTCGGTGATTGGTTTCGAAAGGTTTTGTTTGCTCTCCTTTGTCTTTAGTTATTTACTAAACGGTAAAATATTCCTAAATTATTAGATATATAAATAGAGCATGTAAATGGATTAATTATATAAAGAATCTTATAAATATATTCAAGGCAAACTATAGGATTAATGTTTAATATTCTAACAATAGGCAGCCACTGAGTACAATACTTCCTCCTTCATCTTTTATAAAGATGTTCTTTCATAAAATTTCGCATTTAGGGATGCTAATTTTTTAATATATTTCTCTCGGAGAAGTTTTTAGTGTTTGTTTTAAGACATTCGTATTATATTTTTAGATATGAAGTTTTTATCTTGTTTACTTCTCCTTCCTATCGTTCTCCATGTAGTCGAGTCAGGTAAGTGATTTTCTTTTATAAACCAGGTTTACGGTGACTTTTGTTATCAAATTGAATGAAAATAAGACCCTCCCAAGGTCTATTTTCATTGTTTATTGTTGGTTTTCATATAGACTCCTCCCTTTAAATCTATCCAAACACTTATTTTAAAAAATGAAAACGTTTAATTACATTATTTTTTAAGTGTTTTACCGAGAATTGCATTTATAGGTGTTATACCCTTACACAAGAGATCCGCTTTTTATATCGCTAACGAAACAGGTAAGAAATTTTCTTAGAATTTCTGAATTTTTATAAAAAACTTTTATTTATTTGTACATTTTAAAACTTATATTCAGCTTGTGTTGTGGATGGAATTGTTTACTACAACGGAGATCGCATTCCGACTGATAACCCATGCGAATCGTGCAGATGTCGTCCTCCTGGATTTGCGTGCGTTTTACACGAATGTGAAATAAAGCATGGATGCAAAGCAATCAGAAGAGAAGGAGAATGTTGCCCGGATTATTTATGCGGTAAATTCATTTATCCCTATTTATCTATTTTACTTTATCTTTGCTCTCTGATGCTAAAACGGTAATCGTACAGGTTGCGAGCATAATGGGCAACTGTATAGAAACGGAGACGAAATAAGAGATCCACAGAATCCGTGTTATAAATGTCATTGCCAAGGTAATTCTATCGCTTGCGCATTCGCAGAATGTGTATTCCGACGTGACTGTATGCCCCGTTTTGTAACTGGTGAATGTTGTCCTCGTTATGATCATTGTCCTCTTCCAGGTAAAATACATTTACATTTTAATGATCTGGCGTTCTGTACTTCCTCGTTATTTTGCAAATATATATTAAAATATATGCATTAATACTTATTTTAGCTGTTAAAACTGAATCTTCTATCAATACTTCATTCATTACGAATATCACTACTACGTCCTATGAAACTACTGAACCGGCTACCATTACGCCAGAAATTATTACCGAAAGAAACCAAGAGTTAACTACCATTGGACCGGTTTCTTCGTCGCAAGATGCAATTTCAGACTCGGTTATTATCGCTGAACCTGAAAAAGAACTAAACATTTCTCTTGAAAATAGAAATCATTCGACTTCGGTAAATTCTGTAAAGACATCAAACGATTCTCAGAAAGAACCAACTGACCTCGCTCGAAAACCTATAATAAATGAAACAACTGATTTTGAAAGAGATAAAATTGATTATTTGGATTATTCTTCTACTGAAAATCCATTAAATATACAAAAAAGTACAGAAGATAAATCTAAAGATGATTATACAAGTGAGAATCCTGTAGATGACGACGAAAGTGACGAAGACAACATTTCTTTGGTTGAAGAAGGAAACAAAATAAATGATCCTAAAGAATTATTTTCGACAAAGGATCCTCTGATTTATTCGCAAACCGAGAAGTATTCATTTGGTAAACATTCGACAGACAAAGAATATCAGGACGATTCGTACGAGGATTTATCAAATACAGAATCTTCAGTTCATCAGGAAGAAGAGGACACAATCGAGAAAGATTTATCAACTGCAAGTTCTTTAGATGAGAAAACAGACGATAAGGATTCATCTACACATAAGTTATCAACCGATGAGAAAATACAACCGACTGAAAAAGCTACAATTGATGAATCATATACGACGTTAGAACCTGAAATTTTAGCAGAAAAAAGAAAAACGTCATCGGAAGAGGAAACTGGTTTTACAAATAAAGAAGGGATCATAACAGAAAATGATGTGCGAGGTGAAGAAACTGACGACGAATCTTCAGAAGAAGATTCCGACGAAGTACCTTCGGAAGAACAAAGAGAAACAGATGATTCTTCCGAAGAATCTATCGAAAATCTGCCAGATGAACAAAGAAATCCCACCGAAATCTCTTCGGATGAAGATTCGGACGAATCCGCATCGGATGAAGAAAGAGATGTAGAAAGTTCTGAAGAAGATTCTGAAGAGCAACGACACGAGGATAGTTCTCCTGAATCGGATGAAAGTTCCGAAGAAGAATCGGAATTAAAGATTAAGAGAAAGAAACCATCTGGACAATCGGAAGCAGCTGGCGAGTCTGCACCAGAAAGTATTTCTTCGAACCAGGAAGCAGAAATGAGCCAACAAAGTAATGCCATGCAATCGGAAGCAACTGGCGAGTCTTCACCAGAAAGTACTTCTTCGAACCAGGAAGCAGAAATGAGCCAACAAAGTAATGCCATGCAANCGAAGAAACTACGATAGCAGAAGAAACCACTAAATCATCTGAACCTACGAAGGAAGAAGAAACTACGATAGCAGAGGAAACCACTAAATTATCTGAACCTACGAAAGAAGAAAAAACTACGATAGCAGAGGAAACCACTAAATCATCTGAACCTACCAAGGAAGAAGAAACTACTAAAGCAACTGAAATTACGAAAGAACAAAAAGAAACTACCCGAAAACCAGAGGAAACTACCCTAGAAGAGGAAACCACAAAATCCTCGGAAAGTACTGCAGAAGAAAGAAGAAAATTAACAGAAAGTTCAACAGTTTCTGAAACAATTGCAAAATCTGCAGAAACTACAGAATATATTACAGAAATGGAAGGAATCACATCTACAGCAGTTAAAACTACAATAGAAAAGAAAACTTCTGAATCTGCGACATCATCAGAGTGGATATCGGAATCAGGAGTAAGTACAGAATCTACTTCAACATTACAAACTCTTTCGTCCTTAAAAGATTTATTTACGTCTACTAAACGTGAGAAAGAAACAACAGAAGAAGAAACGACAGTTCCGTCCTTATCTACTTCTGATCATACTTTAGTAGGAATGTTTTCATCAACACTTACAGATTCATCTGATCGATTTTCCACAGATATAACAAGCAAACTAACTAGTTTCGATTTCTCGACATTGCCCAGAGATGCACGAGTTGAGAAAAGCACAGAGACAACATTTATATCTACTGCTCGAGATGAAATAACTACACCTCTCACCAATGCCTCCGAAACAGAATTACTAGGAACATTATTTAAAGATTCAACATCTGTTCCTATTCAACCAGAAACAGCGTCTGAAGAAGAAACTACTTTAGTATCAAAGAAAGAAACAGAATTTACTGGAACAGAATCGCCCGCAAAATCTACATCGTTAGAAACAGAAAGTACTTCTGCTATTAAACCAGAAACAACTTTAAAAGAAGAGATTTTAGAATCAGTTTCAACCGAAACGGAAGCAGATTCCACTGAAAAAACAACAGCGGCAACAAGAGATGATATTCGTCTTTCATCAACTACGGGTACAATAGGAATTTCTACTTTGTTTTCAACTTTTATGCCAACAACTAGAGGCAAAGAAAGTCCGTCGAGCCCTCATATGCTGTCTGATAGCACGATGGGTGCTAAAGTTGAAAACGAATCTACCTCATTCCCAGACGATACAAAGCGTTCGACTTCATCTCCTGAACTCACTGTTAGTTTAATGGATACTACCGAAACAAAGAAAGAACCATCGACACCTTTCGATTTAGACAGTAGTTCTTCAGGTTGGTTAAGTTATATTGTATATTAGAATACCTTAAATGATTTAATTACCGAAGTGATCGTTTTCCTTTCAGGATGTATTCATAATAATCGAATGTTCCAGTCAGCGGAACAGATCCCTCGTTCGGATCCCTGCGAATTTTGTTTCTGTTTCCGCGGTGATATTCTCTGTCTTCATCAATCTTGCCCACCACCTGTACCAGACTGTTTCAAAGCAGAGATTCATGGATATTGTTGTCCACGTTACGACTGTCGTAAGTAGTTACTCTGTTATAACTATTGTGTTATCATTAGAATTTATGGAGGCATGTCTTTTTCCACGAGGAGGCTGCTTCGATTCTTCTCTTTCGATTTGTCCATCCCTGTTTTAATGTTTCATAACAAACAGTAACTCTTATTGTTACCGTTTCTAATTTTTAAAATTCTTCTTTTTTACTCAAGCCGTTCCAGTCGGTATCAAAAATTATACTGCCGGTCCCGTAGTATCAGAAAGATGGAAACGTAATATAAGAGCAACAGTCGAGATTAAAGGTGAGTTAATTAGGTAACTTGATCAGTTAAAAGTAATTTCAATCCCGTTCAATTTTTAAGTAACATTCCACACAACGAAGTGTACATTATACCGAAACGCCATTTTACAGGTTGTATATATGAAAAGACTTTCTACAGAATAGGAGAAAATGTCAAACGAGCGAGTGGCCCCTGCATGGATTGCAAGTGTGAAGATGCCGGAAGGTTATTGTGTCAACCTAGGGATTGTAAAACAGAAGCTCCTCTATTATTGAAAATGAATCATTCGTACTTTAAGAAATGAAAGAAAAGAAAAACTGACTGAAAGCGGACTCATTTGTTGAAGTTAAAAACGGACAGGACGATGTTGGCATTTGTTGTGTATTTTTTCCCTCACTAGTATTATCATTGTTACCTAAGATACATCGCTCTGTCCTGTTTTAACGTGTTTCTTTTATATTTATGGTGGCATTTCTATTGTGCCATATTCATATTGTGATGCCAAGGATAGTTGGGGATTCTCTACTCACCCCTCTAAAGTGAGTTTGTTGGTTATCATGTGGTTTGCACACACATTAACATAATAAACATGTTCCTTTTTTATAAATGTATGTTGTTTTAATAGTTTTCGGGGACGTAAACAGTACATTTAAAATTTCTAGTGTGTATAAATCATCGTATTTTACTTTTTAAAAAATTAGAAAATTCAAAACCATTCTTCCATCATTTAAAAAATAATAATGTAAGAAATTCAATGTTAAGTGTACCGAACAGCCACGAAAACCGAATGATTCGGCATCTTTTTAAGAACAAAAAGCCAGGAAACTTTTTCAAGAGCTAATTTGTTGAACTAAATGTATTATTTCAATGAAATAAAAACAACAGAAGAGATTTTAATTATATTCCCAAGTACAAAGTCTCACAAATGATACCGTTTGTTAAATTAACCACGACAAATATTGCACAACGGAATATTGTACAGTTACAAAATCAATTACTCATCGATGTGTTGATACACACAACAAGGTCCAGGCGAAAATGTTTTCCAACAGAAAGAAATAAATGTACTTAACCCGTTTTTTGTATCGTCCATTTAATTATATTCGATCAAGAATTATCGAATATAATTTCAATTGTTCGTTGTTCTCGTTGATAATAAATGCGCAAATTACAATCCAAAATTCCTGACGTTAGTGCCATTATCTGACATTTATACCACGATCTGTGTATCGAGAATTAAGACTCGAAAAATACCCTTTGTTGATATATGAGACTTTGTATAATTAATTAATTATTCGAGAAATACTTAAATTATCACGCATTTCACTAAGCAGTTACTCATTAGTTCCAGATAAGATACCAGTGCTAATATTACGCGAGTGAAAATGAAAAGTCCATATATAAAACATTTATATAAATTGATGGTGTTTAAAGTATCAACTACATTTTAAATTTTAATAATAATTAATACTCACAATGATCTTAATTAATATTTTTGACACCAGAGGGCAGGAAATACTTACAATACAAGATACTAAAACAATAGCTAAATGAAAAATGGACAGTTTTAACGACGAAGCTGATATTATAATTTTGCATCAGTTTTGAAGAATAAACCATAAATTAACAAAGAAAGTTATAACGCGATGCGCGAATAAATGCAACAACTCTCGTTTACTTTCATTTTATCATTTGCATACACGAGGTAGAGGACGCCACGTAAACAACAACGTAATCGTCATTACGCCATCGATCTATTTCGTAGCCATTTTCGATATTTCGACGGTGTACAAAACGTAAAACTATGAAAAAAACACATTATACAAAAGCTCTTCTTTCTTTTTAAAAGTTTCTTTGAAAAATTAAAATGTTTACCCATTTATAAAAAGTAATACATTTTTAAGGAGCCGTCCGTAAATACGTGTCCTCCCTCTCTGTACAATTACGTACTTTTGGCATACCCTCTCCTTTAATTCCTTTACCATAGACCCCTCCGACTTTGAAGAAACTACTTTATATAGTTCTGAAGATATAATTTATTCGCACGAATAAGTAAATTTGAATGTATTAATATCACTATAAATGTATAATTGGGATGCGTATCTATAAATTCCCACTGCCGTCCGTCCGTCTGTCCGTTTGTCTGTCTTTCCTTAATTTCCAGAACAGAGTTAGACGAACGAAAGACGAGACCGGATATGGAAACTTTAGCGGCAAGAGGAGCCAATTAACTGTACAAGAACTTCCGGTGCCAACAGAAGGTGGCGTTATTTCGATTCACAAGTTTCCCCTACAAGGTGTTAGACGACCGGCACGACTATATTGTTAAAGTATGATGTACGGGAGCGAAACACTACTAATTTGAGGTGGAGAGCATATATTTTAAATTAAATAAATTAAAAATATGATTAAAAATTGCGGGCCGGCATTGTGACCGTGTCACAATAAATAATCGCCCGTTTTATCTACATTTTTATGGTTACTACATACAATTATCCCTTTTCTAATCTAACCATCGCTTAATGTCAATAATCTCTCGTAAGTAAATTAGATTTGTCCGACGTTTTAACTGGAAAAACTCGAGTAACGCTCCGCACTCTGGTCAGTTCTATTCAGAGTATCCGATTGTTTTCGATCTTGTTTCTATATTGTTTATTGAATAATATACTGTATCTGCCCCGTAAAGCCGTATCTCGTGCACAACAGCTCTCGTATTACGGAGGAGCCGACTTTACGTAAACGAATACGCATTTCTTTTTACTTAAATTATTTTCTGGGATTGAAGTCGGAAAGTTTTGAATAAAATATACTTATGTTTACGAGTATTAAACTTTAAGTTTATGTTTAATTAAATTTTTAAATTATGTAGGCCTATATTCTAAAAGTGTAGATTTACGTTCTCGATGACATAAAAACATTCTTAAAATAATATTTAATTAATTATTTACGCCAACTAAAATGTAATATATTTTATTCCCCGACAAGTAGACGACGAACCGCGGCTAAAATTATTTAAGTTTCGGCAATTTATATCTTACACAATATGGCAATTTCTTGTATTATATAAAAGTTTGGTGCAATAAGAAAGAGAGAAAAGAAAATTATTAACCACGTTGGAGCGTAATTTCTAAATTGGTTGGTAGATGGCAATGTATTAACTGGTAAACGAATTTACAATCATCCATCGTAACGAGTTTAACGACATTTGCGGCGCATTCTACTTTTTATTAAGCGAATGCTCGGATAATAATTGAGAAAAATTGAATTTTTTCCAATAAAAATCTCTAGCAATAACGCAATTTTTATTTTAATCAAAAACGAAATACGTTTTCTGCCGAATTTTAACCATATTGTCATCACCAGTTTGGCTAAGAGAAGTCATTTATTGCACCCGTTTTTTCCTTTTTACTAAACTTTCGTTACGGCCCTTAGCATTTTTTTACACGCCAACTCTTCGAATACGAAAAAGAAAGACTCCCCGACCACGAAAGACGATAAGTTTAACGCTCGAGAATCGGTGGGAAAAATTTACTAGTCATTTTGTTTACTAATAGTAATTTACCGATGATAGGTAGTAGAGTTTAGTAGCGATATATTATTGACGGTAACAGTTTATTATTTTTTCTCCGTTTATCGACAATGATTCCAGGCGATGCCTTTAAAATATATTAAAAGTAGCGAACGAAGGCTATATTTGGGAATCGACGCCAGCATATATATTTGGGAATCGACGCCAGCATTCCGGCAAAATGCCGGTGGCAAAATTCAGGCGCCCGCCACAACAATAAATACGGATTTAGTCGAATCGACTTTAAATCGCTGACGATTTTAAGGGATTATAATATAAATAATATAAAAAGTCCGTAAATTATTAAGCCCAGCGCAATATTTTACGTACTAGTCTGGTGTTAAGACATCGAATGGGCGTAAACATTTTACAGATATAATAGTTCGGACGTATCCCCATTTCCTAGGAGATACGATAACGAAATGACCGAAAATTAGCGTAAAAAGGGCCCCGAGCGCTGGCCACGTCGTAAAATTCCACGGCGAACTTCTAAAAATTTCCATCTTATCCGCGTATTTGTTAATTAATAACTTATGGTCAAAGACGGCTCCGAGTCCTCTATATGATTTTTATATAATTGTGGATCGTATTTGTAATTTATTAATATTAACAAATTTTAATTGTATATTTTATAAGTAGAAACCATCGCCGCTCCCTATACAAACTAATGTTTTTGTTCTGGCCGATCTAATTTTAAATGTGTCGTTTCCCTTATTAAAGAATGACGCGATTACTCCAAAAACTCCGATTATCGACTCGAAAAGTATCGTTTTAACTCGTTAAAGATTATCGATCGATTTTTACCAATTTTTAAAGACAATTCCGTGTAAATTCTTCGAACATTTTAGTTAAAATCGAGTTAAAAATTCAGGTTTAAATCTAAAAAGTTCATTTAAAAATCGCTAAGTTTTTTATTATTTTATTTTAAAAAATTAAAAGAATTTATTCATAAATATTCTAAAAGTTTGCTTAATTTTTTAAGTAAAAAAAGTGGAAAAAATAATCCAAAAACCGAAATTAATTTCTGGGTTGGTCTCTAATTAATTTTATATAGTATTGTATCGATAGTAGCGCCCGCGTTGTCTGTCCGTAGTAAATATTATAATATGCCACAAACGAATTAATTTTGCCATTTTATTAAATTAAAATTAGGAAATTTATCACGAAATAAATATTTAAAAAGAGATTGTAAAAAGTGTGAAAAAACCATTAAAAACTTACTTAGACGAAAGACAAATAGACAATACTAGAATTTCTTTCTATTCTTACAAGTTGCGTCAACAATATAACTAATATTAACAATTACGTAGATAATTCCCAGATAAATATATTCAATTTTATGTAATAATATTTCCTGTATTTTGTTTTAAAAAAGTTATTTTAAATATTTTTTATATCGATGTAAATCTATGCACGCTCCATATAAAATTCTGTATATCAATTATATTTATGATAAGAAACTAAAATATAATAAAAAAAAACTTATCGAAACATTTTATATTTTTAATATTTGAATTTTCTCACGCTTCATTGGTTATTTTTTGAAATTAATTTACTTTCCGAGACGTTATTGGTTAATTTACAAATTGGAAATTTATAAATATTTTAGAAAAACATAATAATAGTTAAATACTAAAAAATTAATTGGTAGGTAAATAAATTTTGTTTACATTTTTTATAATAAAATGTATAAATTTAAAGGTAAATACGTCGAAACGACCTTAAATAATTAAAAATAATAGGAAAAAGTATTTGGGACGGATTGAAAAAAGTCTTTGACACGAAAGAATGAGGATTATTTAAATGTCCGGTTTGATAATTACTGTAATAACGAGTCGAAAGTGAATTGCGTACAAAGAACTAAGTGAATAATTGGGAAAAATGAAGAAAAAGTAATTAAAGTTTTTGGACGGGGAAGAAATTCCTATTAATTTTACCTTCCTGAATATTTTTATTTCATATTCGGTTTTCCTCTAAAGAAATTCGAAATATTAATTTTTTCTGGAGAAATGAAGCGATTTTATTGAAATTTGAATGTTAAATTTATATGGAAACGGTGACATTTTTCTTTGTTCTCGAGGAACGTATTCTTTGATAATATTGCATTTGTCGATGACATTTAATTTCGGGATGCATCGATGGTTAGATATTCGATATTATCTTTGTTGATCAACTATAACTGGTTGGTGGAGGGAGAGAGGTCATGCTTGTTTTACTTTAAGTCACGGACTAAAGAGCAGTCTCTCCACTTCACTCACTCATTCGGGGGAGTGAAAGTGAACTCGTATCATGGCTCTTCTTTTTCTTTCTTTGTTGATTCTCTCCCGCTACCGCCTGTCATCGGGTAAGTTTTTGTATATTAAGTACATAAAAATCTGTAGAATTAATCGATACCGCTTAACTATTTAAGAAACGACCTGTAGAAAATGTAAAGGTAGTTTTTTAAGTCGATTTCTCTTACGTAACTCGCTTCCTGAACGTGTTTTTTCGCGTACCGTCTTCCCGGTTAGCTCTTAAATTATAGCTACTTTGCTTAAACTTGACCGCTATATTAACGGGTGTATAGAATTTTAAGCGATGGGGTCAACCTGTTGTTAACGGACGATGTCCTTTCATTGTTGCACTCGAAATCGGAGGTTGTTAACCTCGCGCATACCTGTAGTCTGCAAAGTAGAGAAAGTCAAAGGCTGGCGGGGGGTCGTACTATCGGAGGCCCCATCCGAATAACATATTCTATCACCACCTTCGACTCTTTTTTTACCGGAACTAATGAACGTTTCGCTCCAACAGTTCGCATTCGTACTTCCTGTAACAGAACTATAACGGTTAGCTTATAATTATTTAAAGGCTACACGTAAATTATGCTATCGAACAATACGATTCTTATGTTTATACCAGCTAAGAGTTGTTACGTGACATTGACACGTGTTTAAGAATGAGTTTTCCTACTTGATTTTCAGGTGCAGAATGTTTATATCAAGATACGCAATACGGCGAGGGAGAAACCGTAAAGACTGCCGAGCCCTGTTTAAATTGCACCTGTACTTCTGGTGTATTAATCTGTTATTTAAGAGTCTGCACAACAGTTCTACCCGCACCGGCTGGCTGCGTGGCAAAAAAACAACCTGGAAGTTGTTGCGCCGACATCATTTGTGGTATTTGCATTAATCGTGAGGTTTCGATTTACACGAATTGAGTAAAGTCTAATTAATTAAATTGTCTTTTTTAGACGAAGAAGAACAAACTGTGGGAAATTCTTTCGCTTCTAGTCAAAATAATTCATTAGAAGTCAAAATATCGAGTAACCATTCGGAAAATGATGTGAGTAATTATATGCTTTGACTTAATATTAATTATTTTCAATTATATTTATAATCCTGCACGGTACAGGAGCTGAAACCTAAGTTAACCTCCGACCTTCAAGCAAATAATATCGATCAAAATCAGACGAATATGGTTATTTCTTCCACCTCTTATTTAAGTGATGAAGATTTGGAAGGAGGTGAGTAATATAGAATTTCAAAATGGAAACGAACGCGTGAGATTTTAATTATTACAAACTAAAAATGATGCGGATCCGTGGAATAGAGTAAGAAAAAATGGTTTAGACGTGTAGAATGAAAAAATTTGGTAATTTTCTTGAATCGGAATCAACAGTGTGTGCTTCCTTTTCGTTTCTTTGTTGAGCGAGAAAGTTCTCAAAATCGACTTTTGTTCTCTCGGCTTCAGTTAACTGTTTTGCTTCAATGACCGAAATATAATTTCACTACTTTTCCTGTGCCCCATTGAAACTGAAGCTCTAAAGTCTCGCGTGACTCGTGACATTTTTATCAAATGTAACGCCATTTCTTTTACTTGCAGGTTGCTACATAAATGGTTCCCTTTATGCGGAAGGTTCGGCTATGATTTCTTCAACTTATTGTCATTATTGTTATTGTATCAGAGGTAAACAAGTTTGTCTTCGACCAAAGTGTCACCTAATAATCGAAGGTTGTAATGCTAGATACATGAGCAATTATACTTGTTGTCCCACTCATTACGTTTGCGGTAAGTAGAATTATACCAAAGTCATCCCGTACGTCAACTTAAATTAATATTTTCAATTGGTTTAGACGAAAGTTATTCTTCGACATCCGCTACGACTACGTCCGAAGCTACCGATGCCACTACATTTAAACCTTCAGGTATTTCCTCGCCATGCCTTTTACGTAAACTTTATTTGGACGAAAATAACACTAAGATCTTTATAGGATGCACAATAGACGATTTTACGTATTCGATCGGAGATGCCGTTCCTAGCACGGGTCATTGCCAGACCTGTTATTGCTCGAGAGAAGGTATAAAGTGTAGTCCTCTTCAATGCTCTCCCATAATGGATGGGTGTGTTCCTATAATACCGGAAGGTCACTGTTGTCCCGTAGAATATAACTGTAGTAAGTATTTAGATAATTGGCATAAATGAACTTTAATCGAATATATCTTAAAATTCTTAAATTCTGTAGATTTTACGCAATATCCGTCGAAACATACAACAAATATCTTCGGTTGGGGTGCTGGAGAAATAAACGAGACTTTATCGGAATCTTCGGTGACTGTACCAGTTTTAAACTTAACTAGCGATTATTTTGAAGTGATCGATCAAGATAAGATAGAAGAGAGATACGGCGATGTCGATCTTAATCAAAGTAATCGTGTCTTAAACCAGACGGAGTCTATCGAATATGAAACTAATTCGAATGATTCTCAGACAACGACATCTGACATAATAATCGAGCTTGAAAATAGTTCATTAAGTGTAGAAGATAGCGATGTCACTAATTTAAACAACGACACTTCGCAAGAGTTGACAACCATTCCAATCAGTTTCAATATGTCTTCGGTAGAAACGGTAACCTTAAAGGTGGTTGAAATTACAGAAAATTCAACCGAAACTGATGCAACTACAGAAATAACAGCTACTACAATGGAAAATTTAAGTACTGAAATGACTAAAACTGAAAATGTAACTGATACACAGAGTGAAAACGTAACAGAATATCCGTCTACTACAGAAAAAACGTTAGCGACTGTAACTTTCAACGATTTTAAACGTTCTCGATTAGAAGAAGCCCATCGTTTGCCTCCTCCGTTTCTGTTTTTGGGCTCTCGATTGGCAGTAAGACCTTTCGGAAGAGGAGGAGTAACGAGAAATCCTTATATTAATCCCAATATCGTGTTAAGAACTACAAAGCCACCATTAACAGGTACGTTTAGAATGACATACTTTCGATCTTCATTAACTAAAAGATAAGTTAATAAGTAAATTTATGCCATACAAAGCTTAGTTACAATGTCACGCATCCTGTATGCTACACTTTTTAAACCTAGAATTAATCTTATCGTAACGAAAATGGCTGTTCGCAGATACACTGTACTTAGTTGTTAGTAGTATTTTGATACATAGTTATAGAACCAGCTGATTGGATCCTCAACACATACCAGGTGATCAAAAAGTTATTCGTTTGCATTATATCATTTGTAACGTAGATTTACGGTGAGTTTTCGATCATCTTTGTCTTAAACACGGGTTAAACACGGCAATTAAATATACTGCAGTGTTGCAATTAACAAGCTGTAAATAAGAAAAAATACATATATTTGTATATGTGTTTTTGAACATATAAAATGAAATTTCAAGTAACGAAAGTTAAATAGCAAACAAGATGCTATTTTTATAACATAATTTGCATTCAATTTTCATACCATTGTGTGTAACGTGTCGTGTAGTATGTATACAAACACGTTATTTATATATTGTTATATCAGATTATATTAACCGTAAGGTATAAAAATAGCATGCACAATGCTATTTTTATATCATCTTTTTTAAAACAATTCCTGATATCTGATGTGTAAAATTTGATTATATCATTCCAAATTGCTTCTTTATTATTATAAAAATTTCGAAAATATATTTTTTTCTTTGTTGATACTGTTACAATCAATTTAAAGGTTTAATTATTTAGGATAAAAAAACTTATTAAATGATTGTTGTTTTTAAAATGTCTTTAAACGGATAATTTAAGTACTTAGAAATATTTCTGTGGTTGAATCTAGAATTAAATTCATTCTTATCCGGAATGCTTTGTCGCGACGTGTCAAAATTTACATATTATAAGATTATCTTCTAATATTTTCACCATCTTTCATTAAACACCATAAAATCTAAAGTTAAACAACAGGAAGAAAAGAATTTTTCACTCTTTGATAAGCCAACCGTTTTCTTAATCTTCTGTAACTAAATATCCTCTCATCTAAGGTTACTGTGCCAAAATGATTAATCCTTTCAATGACTCTGAGCATGGGAACAAATAAGTCACACGCTAAAATGATTGAACATAGACGTATCTTGAACACGAGTGTTGGGATATGAGAGCAAACAGTTCGGATTACACGCTTTCAATATGAAGTAAGATAAGATAATAAGGAATAGAATAATAGGGAATATAGAATAGGTTCGATAGGAAATGTAATACAATAATGAGAAACTATAACAGTTAGTCTTCGAGATAATATTAATTATGACATAGTAAGTACATAGGCAACGGCATTGGCGAATGTAAAAAGTTAAATCTCTCTAAATGCAAATGCTTTGATTGGATAAAATATAACTCTACATGTATTAAGTTTTATTAGAACGCAGAGCTCAAAAATTCGAAGCTAACAATACAATATTTTGCACGGCCACAAAATTATTCTTCTAATTTAGAATAGGAGATTCTATTGTCCACACGTAATACTGTTTAACCTTTCCTATTTTTAACTATAATTTAGAAAGAGAGCTCTCTTTATGGTTAGTAATTACATTTTATACGGTCGAGTTGTGTTCGTGATAATTTGAAGTATTATTCCTTTATTCCTTGTTAGTTTGACGTTTAATGTCCTGCGATAATGGCTCTAAAGTAGTCGCATTCTTCCTCCCTTGATCCGGAAACCAAGTTTAAATTTATTTGTCATTCCATTCTTTATCTTTTAAATCTTTAATAACAGGTTACAAATTCTATTTATTTTATTTTTTGTTTCTTCCTGTTGTTGATCAGTAGTAAGAGATCGGAAGATTGAGGAATGAGAAATATACAACTACGAAGGATCTCTATTCGAATCCATTTAGGACTCGAAATTGTTTGTGTTTGTGACGTTTTCTATTCTTTGCTCATACCAGCTTACTCTAGTGGTGAGGCCCTGACGTAACAAAAAACTGAGTTCGGTTGATTTGGTTCGATTATGGCAGCGCAACACGTGGGCGATCTGCCAAGGAGGTATCATTTGGAAGGACTTTTATGAAAAGCTGGTCTGTATGCGGGTGTTAGACGCGTGAAGAAAACCCGGAGATTCACTTGGACAACTTATTGTTCGGGAACGAACCCGAGTCCAACTACCAGTGAACCGAGTCCGGACTTACGGTTCTATATGTTGAAGTTATAAGAGGTAAATTCAATTTATTCGTAGTAATTAATAGAGCCTATATTGTTTTATTGAAAAGAAACGGTATACGATAAGATCATTAGAATAATTCTTTCTTTCCCGGAGTTTCTTCCAAGTAAAATATTGCAGCGAGTTGTATTACCTTTCCATCTTCCACAGATTAACTGTCAGAAGTGAATTTTTACATTCTTTCCATCTTAATTCCTCTCTTAGTTTCTTAGAAACTGTTACTTTCTTTTGTTTGTTTTTCATCATCCGAGCACGAAAAAATTCCAGTAACTTATGGTTGTGCGTGTGGAGAGTCACGAATTGAAGTAATTCGTGTAGCTTGACAACGAATTTAAAGATAGAAAATCAAGCTTTACTTTTATTCTTTTTGATGTAATTTTAAGCACGATTTTTTAAAGTTTTGCGCACAGCTTCTTTCTTGATTAGTACAAAACTGTTTTCCTTTAATAAAAATAAAAATGAAGATTTTTATGCGTATTTGATTGGTGGAATAAGACAACGCGATACGTGGACCGTGTGTCAAGGGGATGCTTCCAGAAGGACTTTTTAAGGGAAACTTGTCCCTATTTAGTTGTTACACGTGTGAAGAAAACTCGAAATCATTATTCGTGGACCAATCGTCGTACGTGGTTTTATCCACTCGGCCACTGATCAGCCTTTAAGACTTTTGTACATTAATGCATTGATTTCATTTATAAATAAATATTAATATCCAGAATATTTTTAAAATTATTTTCACAACATTATTGTAAGGAATGTATCGAAAATATAAATTGAATTAATTTTTTAAATTAATTGTTAAACAATAAAATTATTAGTCTAAATCTGCCTGAAGTTAACTTAATGACTTTCTTAAAGGAATCTGCATAATTAATGGAAGAACTTTTATGAATGGAGAAGTGATCCTTCGTGGAGATCCGTGCGAAGTATGTCGTTGTATCTCTGGAAGAGAGATGTGTCGCAGACAAGAATGTCTTCCTCCTCCCAGTCCAAGTTGCAGAATGGAGAAAAGTCCGGGATTCTGTTGTCCTCATTACATATGCGGTAAATTCATTTTCGATTTTATTCAATATTCACTATATTTTCTTTAAAAAGTATTATTAAATTACAGTAAATCTTCCGCCTCCATCTATTCAAAGACGACCACACATCCCAACATCCGCACCACACATCCCAGCATCCGCCCCACACATCCCACCATCCGAACCACACATCCCACCATCCGAACCACACATCCCACCATCCGAACCACACATCCCACCATCCGAACCACACATCCCACCATCCGCACCACACATGCCAACGTTCGCACCAATCGAAGTAATCGATATAGAAACCTTCAAACCCACAACTACAACAGAATCGAGCATCACTACAATGGAGACTACAACGGAACCTCCGGAAACGACAACAGAATCCTCAGAAATGACCACGTTGGAAGCACCAACCAGATTTTCTTTCATAGATCACTTATTGTCTTTGATGACCCCTAGTCCTACTGACGCGGAACGAGACGACGTAATCAGTGAGAAACCCGGAGCAATTCCTGGATCGCTGGTCGGTAACAGTTGGGGAGTGTTGAGAGTTTCGGGTAATTTTCTTAAAAAACTAAAGTCTTTAATTAAAGATTTTTGAAGAATTTATAATATATAAAACGTTGTTTCTCTCGCAGGTTGCAATGTATATGGAAAATTTTATAGTCTTCACGACAAAGTGGCAGAATTAAGTGGAAGATGCAAGGAATGTTTATGTGACGTAACGGGAGTCAAATGCTCAATCATTTGTTAACCATCGATTTTTCTCGGCGCAAAAATATATTTTTTCATTTTTTTACGTGTCAAATAGTCATCATTTCTAATCAGAGTACAAATATATTCATAAAATGACACGAAACTTTTACTTTGGCATTTCTTCCGAATTTTTTTAACCTAAACTATTATTCGAAACTATATTTAATGTTAATTTAATTCGTATATCGGATAAAAGATGGCAGCACGCGACGAAAACAATACATTTTTAGGATGTCGTCCTATTTTATTCTTAGAATTAATATAAAATTTTAAATAAATAAATTTTAAAAAAACCTCGAGTTGATGCGTTAAGAAAATTATTTATTAAATATTTAAATTTAAATAAAGTACCTCTTAATTACATTACGCTAATATTTTAAAATATCGTTAAGAAAACGCCATAAAATTACTGCGTATAATTAAATTAATGATTATTTTATTATCTATGTTATGTAATTTTTTATATTTCATTTACTTGGAACAATTGCGAAACGATTACAGTATTTATTACTACTTTATAAAGTTGCGTGGACTCAATTTTCATTCATTGCTGTATTTAATATCATAATAGGTTGGGGAGGATAACAAATATTTTTTTATATTAATTCAGTTATTTATTTAAATTTTAATTTATTTTTAGTATAAATATATAACAGAAACAAAGGTTAGTACGAGGGTAATTCTATTTGATACCGTTTTATTCTATGTAAATCCCAGTGTTTTTGATGTGACAAAATTTAAGAGGAGAAATTTCCACAAATTTCTTAATTAGAGGAATGTCTACAATACTAGCAATCTACAAATGCAAAATATTTACGTCAGCTGCGTGAACTTTTTCAAATTCCAAACGAGTAGATTACGTAAATAAAGATTTAGACAACGTCGTTTGTCTCGAGCAGAACAAAGAGAGCCTCAAAATTATATTAATCGATTTAAAATATATATCGATGATCGATTATAAATAGTAATCGATTATGAAAATATAGATAATAATAATCGATTACGGTAAAAATCAATCGATGAGTCGCGCGATTAAATATTGATTATCGACAATCGAAATCGATACTTAGATTCTAATTTGGCTTACTTCTTCAAAATTTAAATAAACTCGAATTCTTGGGCAATTCTAGCAAAAAAAAGAAATGCTATTCGGGAAGAGTTTCTATGGTAAACTGGTCCCAATTTAGGCGTAGAAAACCGGAAAGTCCATTGGTCAGGCACGAACCCGCGACTACCAGTGTTTTGTGACCGTATCCTCTTTGCTAGTGATTAAAACTTTTTATAATTGGCTCGGGTTCTTTCTCGTCTTTTTCAAATCCTACAAATAAGTTACGCGTATCGAACTCGATAAGGCATTAATTAATCCGTCCAATTAAAGAAATATAAATTAAATTTCGAAACCATACATTCGATGAACGTATAAATGAAATTAAATAACCATAAACAGAAAGCGAACGGATAATAATTACAGAATTCTAATATATTATATTATATATTACGTACGTTTTATATTAATTACTTTAAGATATCCGTATTATTATACTTATCTATCGAAACAATATTCAATCAACCCTCTTATTACTTCTATTCAGATATTGTTTCGTCTTCAAATTTCTTTTCTATCGAAGACAGAATGAGAAAATAAAACGTATAAATCGATTCTGATACAAATTTCAATGTCGAGCCTAAAAATTACATAAATCGATTAAAAAGCAAAGACTCGAGTTTTGTTCAAAATAGGGATTTAATTATCGATTTCGATGATCGATGATCGATTATCGATTATCGATAGTCGACAACAATATAGACTTATTTTTTCATTTTTTCCCAATTTTTAAAAATTTATTTATTAATGCCAATGCAGTTTATATAAATAATTTAAAATTGGAAAGAAATTAATTTTTAAATTTTTTTTACGAAGAACGGCCCGATTTATGCATCTATTATTGCGCGAAAATGCAGTAGGAGACGAACTATATGAGTACTTTTTGTTTCTTGTGCCTTTTGATTTTTATGTCTAGTTACAATGCCCGAAGACAATTTAAGGCATGGCGTAGAGACGAGGAAGTAGACATAGTGTAGCTTTTTAATTAGTTGTCGACGAAAAGATTTGCTTGACGGGTCATGCTATTTAGAATGTAAAGAATGTTAAGACGGTTATCCCATACTTCCTGAACCTCACTAATTCATATAACTAAATTATTCCTAAATCGGTTTTCTATCGGCTACCGCGAATTTAAACTCGGAGGTTGTTGTACCCATACATTGCGCTTCAATACGAAAATGAATGGTAATGGCATAGAAAGGTCGAGGACTATTATTCATCTTGACTTTGAATTCAATGTGTCATAAAAACAACACTACTGAGGTTTATATACACGTCAATTCTCTATCTGTTAGTGATTTTACACACACTCTCCTAGTTTTTATCGTTATTTTTTGCAGATATAAAGTAAAAGTATGCTATATATCGTGAATATCGTCGAAGTTTTTTAGAGGAAATTTAAGTAAAAAACACGGATGAAGAATAATTTAAGACTCCATACACTGGCTTCGACCGGTTTATAATCTTTTAAGTTTCGTAGCGTAAATTTAGGTGTTTATTTTTAAGGAGGAGTTAGAGAAGGAGAAAGAGAGAGTCATTCACCGCTCGTTTTCAGTAATTTATTGTTTCTATCAACGAAAATATGGAATTCCTCCTCACTCTATTTGCTTTATTGGTGTAAGGTCAAGGTCGGAATACTATTTCTATACAATAGCCGATGGACCATATCGCTGCCATAAATTGTCCTACTCTTGATGACTGTTACGGTAAAACGCGTCTAAATTGTCACGCATTTATTATTATTTTTTTCTTTATATTTTTACTGTCGGAGTTTTGTATTCTCCGTAAATGCCATTGGTGAAGGAAGCGTTATTGTTGGCTCCGAACCGCTACAGCTTTGTGAGAGTCATCAGTAAAACCCACCCATTAGAAGTGGGACAAGTTAGAGACGGTCCATCTTCCAGTCCATCTTCGGAACTAAATAAGAGATGTCGTTCGCTGCCTTCGGGCGATTTTCTACCAAGTTCACTGTCCTGAGTACCTGTATAAAAGTAAAGACACCCGACTGGTGTTGAACTTTTCGTAGAAATATTCTACTGCTTTTGTCTGGTAAGTTGATTCGGTGATTGGTTTCGAAAGGTTTTGTTTGCTCTCCTTTGTCTTTAGTTATTTACTAAACGGTAAAATATTCCTAAATTATTAGATATATAAATAGAGCATGTAAATGGATTAATTATATAAAGAATCTTATAAATATATTCAAGGCAAACTATAGGATTAATGTTTAATATTCTAACAATAGGCAGCCACTGAGTACAATACTTCCTCCTTCATCTTTTATAAAGATGTTCTTTCATAAAATTTCGCATTTAGGGATGCTAATTTTTTAATATATTTCTCTCGGAGAAGTTTTTAGTGTTTGTTTTAAGACATTCGTATTATATTTTTAGATATGAAGTTTTTATCTTGTTTACTTCTCCTTCCTATCGTTCTCCATGTAGTCGAGTCAGGTAAGTGATTTTCTTTTATAAACCAGGTTTACGGTGACTTTTGTTATCAAATTGAATGAAAATAAGACCCTCCCAAGGTCTATTTTCATTGTTTATTGTTGGTTTTCATATAGACTCCTCCCTTTAAATCTATCCAAACACTTATTTTAAAAAATGAAAACGTTTAATTACATTATTTTTTAAGTGTTTTACCGAGAATTGCATTTATAGGTGTTATACCCTTACACAAGAGATCCGCTTTTTATATCGCTAACGAAACAGGTAAGAAATTTTCTTAGAATTTCTGAATTTTTATAAAAAACTTTTATTTATTTGTACATTTTAAAACTTATATTCAGCTTGTGTTGTGGATGGAATTGTTTACTACAACGGAGATCGCATTCCGACTGATAACCCATGCGAATCGTGCAGATGTCGTCCTCCTGGATTTGCGTGCGTTTTACACGAATGTGAAATAAAGCATGGATGCAAAGCAATCAGAAGAGAAGGAGAATGTTGCCCGGATTATTTATGCGGTAAATTCATTTATCCCTATTTATCTATTTTACTTTATCTTTGCTCTCTGATGCTAAAACGGTAATCGTACAGGTTGCGAGCATAATGGGCAACTGTATAGAAACGGAGACGAAATAAGAGATCCACAGAATCCGTGTTATAAATGTCATTGCCAAGGTAATTCTATCGCTTGCGCATTCGCAGAATGTGTATTCCGACGTGACTGTATGCCCCGTTTTGTAACTGGTGAATGTTGTCCTCGTTATGATCATTGTCCTCTTCCAGGTAAAATACATTTACATTTTAATGATCTGGCGTTCTGTACTTCCTCGTTATTTTGCAAATATATATTAAAATATATGCATTAATACTTATTTTAGCTGTTAAAACTGAATCTTCTATCAATACTTCATTCATTACGAATATCACTACTACGTCCTATGAAACTACTGAACCGGCTACCATTACGCCAGAAATTATTACCGAAAGAAACCAAGAGTTAACTACCATTGGACCGGTTTCTTCGTCGCAAGATGCAATTTCAGACTCGGTTATTATCGCTGAACCTGAAAAAGAACTAAACATTTCTCTTGAAAATAGAAATCATTCGACTTCGGTAAATTCTGTAAAGACATCAAACGATTCTCAGAAAGAACCAACTGACCTCGCTCGAAAACCTATAATAAATGAAACAACTGATTTTGAAAGAGATAAAATTGATTATTTGGATTATTCTTCTACTGAAAATCCATTAAATATACAAAAAAGTACAGAAGATAAATCTAAAGATGATTATACAAGTGAGAATCCTGTAGATGACGACGAAAGTGACGAAGACAACATTTCTTTGGTTGAAGAAGGAAACAAAATAAATGATCCTAAAGAATTATTTTCGACAAAGGATCCTCTGATTTATTCGCAAACCGAGAAGTATTCATTTGGTAAACATTCGACAGACAAAGAATATCAGGACGATTCGTACGAGGATTTATCAAATACAGAATCTTCAGTTCATCAGGAAGAAGAGGACACAATCGAGAAAGATTTATCAACTGCAAGTTCTTTAGATGAGAAAACAGACGATAAGGATTCATCTACACATAAGTTATCAACCGATGAGAAAATACAACCGACTGAAAAAGCTACAATTGATGAATCATATACGACGTTAGAACCTGAAATTTTAGCAGAAAAAAGAAAAACGTCATCGGAAGAGGAAACTGGTTTTACAAATAAAGAAGGGATCATAACAGAAAATGATGTGCGAGGTGAAGAAACTGACGACGAATCTTCAGAAGAAGATTCCGACGAAGTACCTTCGGAAGAACAAAGAGAAACAGATGATTCTTCCGAAGAATCTATCGAAAATCTGCCAGATGAACAAAGAAATCCCACCGAAATCTCTTCGGATGAAGATTCGGACGAATCCGCATCGGATGAAGAAAGAGATGTAGAAAGTTCTGAAGAAGATTCTGAAGAGCAACGACACGAGGATAGTTCTCCTGAATCGGATGAAAGTTCCGAAGAAGAATCGGAATTAAAGATTAAGAGAAAGAAACCATCTGGACAATCGGAAGCAGCTGGCGAGTCTGCACCAGAAAGTATTTCTTCGAACCAGGAAGCAGAAATGAGCCAACAAAGTAATGCCATGCAATCGGAAGCAACTGGCGAGTCTTCACCAGAAAGTACTTCTTCGAACCAGGAAGCAGAAATGAGCCAACAAAGTAATGCCATGCAATCGGAAGCAACTGGCGAGTCTTCACCAGAAAGTACTTCTTCGAACCAGGAAGCAGAAATGAGCCAACAAAGTAATGCCATGCAATCGGAAGCAACTGGCGAGTCTTTACCAGAAAGAATTTCTTCGAACCAGGAAGCAGAAATGAGCCAAGAAAATAATATCATGCAACTTTCGAATAATTCCGAAACAACATCCGTAAGTCCTTCTCATTCAGATGATGATTTGTTGCAACTATCATCAACTTTATCTCTAAATACAGAAATTAACCAAGCTGAAGCCAGAGATAAGACTACTGAAAGATCACAAACCGTAACAAAAGAAAATGCTGAAGAACCTCTGAAATCAGGCGATTCCAATACCGAAAATGCTGAAGAACCTATGAAATCAGGCGATTCCAATACCGAAAATGCTGAAGAACCTATTAAATCAGGCGATTCCAATACCGAAGCATACGAAGATCGTATTGATGTCTTCACCGAAAATAGTGGTGTGACATTATTGCTAAATACTTCGGAAACCAATCAACCAGATTTCTCTATCGTTAACGAAACACAGCCTACAGAAATGACAGAAAGTGTTAGTAATGAAACAGAACAAAGTTCGGAGGATGAAAAAGAATTAACTACTGAAACAACTTTAATAATAACAGAAAATCCAAGTAAAACTACAAAAACGCAATTGGTCGAAGAGAAAACAGAAACGTTAGTAACTACAGAAGCTGAGTTCGAAACCACTTCCGTAAACAAAGGAGAAATTATGACAGAAAACATTTTATTGCCTAATGAAACATCAGAGATGTTAGATAATAAAACTATTAGCGAAAGTCATTCAACAGAAGAGACTTTAACAGAAATTTCAACCGAACATTTTAGTAAAAATGACGAATTCGCTACACAATTTACAAAAAGTTTTACAACAGAAATAACTAGCTCGAATAAAGAAAACACCGAAGTAAACCAAGAAACCACTACTTTCTCAAACAAGGAACAAAGTACAAAACAGGATTTAGAAATTACCGAATGGTCCGAAACTACTCAATCGGAAGCCATTCGAGAAAATGTGGAAACGACGACCGAAGTCAATTTCTCTACGCAAAACGCGCAAGATTTCGATTTAAAAACCCAAACCGAAACCGTAATTGCAGAAATTAAAGAAATTGTTACGGAATCAACGGATAAAATTAATTACGAAGCGGAACACATCGAATCACAAGAGATTTTTGCAAAGGATAACGGTTCAATAACAGAACCTTCCGAAACAATTACGAAAGAAAATAATGAATTTTTGGACGATGTTAACGTAACAACTACCGAAACTATAAATCGTTTAGATAATAATCCCGAATTTTCACACGTTGCAATCGATGGTTTAGGTAAGGATCCAGAATTTCCATACGTCGCGATCGATGATTTCGACGAAAAAACCACAGAAAATGTCTTAATTACAAAAAATATCACGGAAAATCCAATAACTCTGTCATTTTCGGAGGAAGAACCTTTAATAACTTGGAGAGAAGAACGGAACCAAACAACTATACAACTTACAAACGCAACCGAATTAACACTAATATCCGTATCAGATAATTCAACAACGGCCACCAACATTACGGACTCGAATTGAAATTACGAAATTGCCATCTCTTTTACTTTAAATTCCACGAAATGTTTTTCGTAAAAAGTAAGGTATTTGCTATTTATAAGGGGGTGCCTGTCATTAATTAAGTATTTTTCACATTTATAAAGCAAAAAGAATACTTAAATGGGTTGGATAAATGTGAAGTATTCATCAAAAAAACTGCATTTATCATCGTAATTTTTGTTATTTATAAAAATTTGTTTTTAATTTAATTAAATGTATTCTTCGTGTCGCCGTTATAAGTTTAAAAATAAAATGAATTTTTAAAAATTGACTTCAATTTATACCTTTATTAAAAGTCGAAACAAAAACAATAAATTTATGTAAATTATTTTTAAAAAATCAATTACAATTTTTAATTTCAAAATTATTCATTCGTAACTATACAGCATCGTCATTAAATCCCAATTCAAAGCAGTTTAATAAGTAAGAAATTAAAGACGAAAGCTCATTAAATAAATCAAAGTTTGAATTATCTTAAATTCGGTAAAGATTAATTAATCAATCTTTCTTCACTCGCCATTAAATATAGCGCGTGTCGGTAGAAGTTTTCTTTTGCCAAACAACCTTCTATTCCATGTTTTTCTAACAAAACAAGTTCTATCGGTAGAAAAAGCTGCCGCGGCAACAAAATAAACTTGTATAGATTTTGTAAACACTTTTAATCGATNAACTTACAAACGCAACCGAATTAACACTAATATCCGTATCAGATAATTCAACAACGGCCACCAACATTACGGACTCGAATTGAAATTACGAAATTGCCATCTCTTTTACTTTAAATTCCACGAAATGTTTTTCGTAAAAAGTAAGGTATTTGCTATTTATAAGGGGGTGCCTGTCATTAATTAAGTATTTTTCACATTTATAAAGCAAAAAGAATACTTAAATGGGTTGGCATTTTAATGATCTGGCGTTCTGTACTTCCTCGTTATTTTGCAAATATATATTAAAATATATGCAATTAATTATTCATTTATCTACAATTATATTTTAGCAATGTTAAATGCTAAACGACTTTGTTTACTATTCCATACATAAAGATTTTAATAATAGAAAATATACGCTTAATTTCTTTTATTTCTTATTTAAATGTTAATTTTTAATCGTTTTATTCTAATCATAATTTTGATTCGTAAGCGGACAATAATTGTAATTAATATTCTCTTTCAATTAACATATTATTTTTATGAATACAGTAGAGCGTCGTTTATCCGAAAGCTGGTTATCCGAAACGTCCGTTATCCGAAAGCATTCTAGTCGTGCTGTGGCGCTGCAATCTTCGGCTATTTCTCGGGCTACTCAAATATTTTACGTTTTTGATACTAAATTAACATCTGAAGTATAATTTTTTATTCTTTTTATATTTTTCAATAAATTTATTTTGTTTGTACAAAATAAAAAAATAATTTTTAACGATACAATAGTCTTCGCTAGGCTTAACATGGACGAAAATTCAAAAAACAACGCGAAGTGACACGCAATGGAGAGAAATTTCAACACTGGATAAATTAATATATTTTTTCGTACATGATTCGTTATCCGAACCACCCCTGTCCCCAATTGATTCGGATAAACGACGCTCTACTGTATATCAATTATAAAGTAAATTTTTGACGAACTAAGAAATAATTTATTGTATTAACTAATTAATATAATAAATTATTATTTCTTAATGTAATAAATTTCTCGATTTTAACTTATCTTTATATTCTTTAATTTAGTAATTATTAATTAAATATTTTTAATTCTCTGTCGCTTATTTAACTAAATTTTCTCATACATTCGCATTGTAATCGGGAATATTCTTAAACTCGAAAACAATTTATTTATCCGATCGTAAAGTTGTGATATTTCTTACTTTACGTCAGTCAGCGGCCCGGTGCGTAGAATTACTAACGTAAACGCTAATGATGGGTTTCGGGTTTGCGCTTCGCCAACGAACTGGCTAAATCCAGTTTTCTAGGTTTTCACATTTTAATAGGAGCCAGTTTCTCGTAGAAAGTCCACGCGGCAGGCATCTTCTCGAAATATCGCCTTTGTGTCGCGTTGCCTTACCCCTCAAACCGAACCAATCTTCTTATACACCTTTCGGATGATCGATCCTCTAACTATAAGATTGTCCGGGATTGTCGTATTTCGCCCGAATTCGCCTGGCCCGTGTATTTAGATTAACTAATCGGCTGGAATCCGAATAGAAAGGAGTTCAAAGCCACCGCGCGATCGGTAGGAAAAGACCATTTGTTAGGCGAGAACGTCGACCGAGAGGGACGGGGAAAGAAAATTAACAGAAAAAGACGAGAATCGAACAAAATTCTTGCCATATACTTTTACTTATTTCCCGCAAAACGACTCGTTTTACTTAGAATTTGACGAACTGTAAGAACGTATTTACACTTTCCCGGAGAAATATTACTTATCTTCTAACCTAGTTAAAATTATTGTAGTTTGGTAAATTTGATCGCCATTTCCTCGAAGTGTTGCCGAAAAAAATTGTAATTTTTCTGTTATTTTTGATTAAATTCGAATCAATATTCCGAGGTTTGCTATTAGGAAATTTCTTTTTGCAAAGGTATTAATTTTCTGGAATTCCGCTTTGTCATTTTTTAAATTCTTTCCGCGCTGCGGGCTCGCTACGAAGCCAGACCCGCGACGAAAGGACTGGGAAGCGCGTATCCGGATGAGACGACACCCGTCCGTCCAGATTCCCCAGAGCCGTCCGGCCTTCCGGCCATTCGCTCTGGGTTTTGACAGCATCTCTTCATTATCAACTTTTGGCAATTTGTTCGACGCTGTGCCTCGCAAAAAATTTTTAAATGTTTTAATTCGAATTCAAACGGGAGATACAGTCGACCCCCCTAAAAGATCATAGATACGTTCCATTTTTTATTAATCAGATTTCTTACGAGTCGTTCCAATCACAGCCCGACACGTGTGAAGTTTACGGACTACGGCTGATTGAAAGGTTTTCTTCCATAAAATTAATCGATTCTACACTAATCCGACTCAACATTTCCAAAATACGTATATTTTTTTTGGAAATAATCCGTATAAACTACGCTATAAATAAAAAATTGTAGGATTACTTACCGAGGGTGCACTATTAGACATCCCCATTGCTCAACATTGTTTTCGTCGCGGAACAGCTCAGCGAACCGCGGCCGATTTCTAATAACTTATTTTTCTGCGAAAACTTCGTTGAACTTCGGAGACATCATTAATATACATAATTTTAATCGCCGTTGAATAAGGAATGCTTCTTTCACAAGAAATGTATAAAATTAGTGCTGTATTAGACTTACGATACCTAATTTACATACTCTACAGACGATAGTTAGCGTAAAAATCTCCGTAGCGTGGCGCCACGCTAGACGGTGGAAATTATATATTTANCATTACACGCTACTTTAATTAGAACTGAAAATAGGTTAACGAGTTTAAAATGATTCTTGGCAAAATAATACAGTAAAGCGTCGAAAATTCAGCCGATGTAAAATGTATATCAACCCTTTCAATTGTAACTTCATTGTTTGGGTTTCTTTCGTATAAGTATATCGACTCTGTAAATTAAGTTTTGAATCTTTGTAAATATCCGTACATTCATTGTGAAATACTAGCTTTATCTTAGAACACCTAAAGTTACTTTCAACTGCAAATATACAGTAATTTATCCGAATAAGGTGTTTGTTATTTTGAAAGTTCTCTTAAACTAAGGGAGATCGCGACTTTACATTAAGACATAGTACAGATTTTTGAGGTTTTGGACTAATTAAGTACTGTGAGACCTGAAAGGCCCCTGGGTCTAAATCAGTAATTTTATTAATAACGTTAATATTTTGTTATAAAATATTATTTCGTTTGGGGGAGAAAAATGACGTTTTAGAGTGGGAAAAATAGATAACAGATGTTACTTCCTTTCACAGAAGTTAGTGCATCCTCTGTTTTCCTCTTATCTGCGAAAAACCTCGCTTTGATGGGAAATGCTTACCCCTCACATATCCCCCTTTCCATCCGTTCTCTTGGAGGAATCTTTGCATGATGATTGGTCGCCGATCGTGACATATAGAGGAAATTTGTCAGAAATCGGGGAGTTCATCGACAGATCTGAAAGTGTCCAAACTCCACACATTTTTCTCCTGATGACCAACGCCCTTGGACGAGTAACATAGAAGAATTCCCGAGTCAACACTTAGAAGTTATACTTTGACCTTGTGCACATATCGATCTCCCATGATAAGAAGTAAATGAACTTTATCTCCAAAGTGGTCCTTCCTACAGAGAAGAAAACGAACGACAACTAAAACAGGTCGTATGTTTCTAACGATTTTGTGAGCTCTCTCTCTCGATCGCGCATCGGGTATAATATAAGTCCATATATCTCTCGATTTGGATCTTATTTGTAGTAGTTAAATCTCTCGTTCATTAGTATTTTGTATTAGTTTTTATTTTCTTTGGTTTTATTAAATTTATTATTGTTTGTTTATCAAACGAAATGACTCTTAATTTGTGTCTGAATCAGATCTCATACGCGTGTTTGTCCGCGGATCGATAAATTGACAAACTGGTGTCAGTCCTGACGAGCATCTGGACTTCACAGTTCAGATCTATTAGCGGTTATCGCTCTCCTATGAAACTTTTAAGATCGGATCTCTCGATCCGAAACTTTGGAGACAGATTCCGGATAATCTGTGCCGATTAAGTGGTACGAACAATCCTCCGCGGATTAGAGTACCCCCGGCTACTCTCACATTATTATTATATTTCTTAATAATAATTTTTATGCCTTAAATAGCGTTCATGCTAAATTTCCATTATTTGATTTAGCCAAATAACTCTAAACCATTCAGATATTAGGTTGTATAAAATAATAAAAACTTCTCAATCGTCAGTGGTATAGTCTAGTTCTTCGTTCTTCATTCTAGTCTTATAGTTAGTCATTTATATTTATAAATGAATTAATGTACAGTACAACACGTAACATA